ACCTTCTTGACCTTCTTGACCTTCTTGACCTTCTTGACCTTCTTGACCTTCTTGACCTTCTTGATTCTTTGAATTTTCAAAAGTCAAAAACAAAGATTTGGCCAATGCAACAGCAAAAGAAAAATTTCCCTCTCCCAATAGTATTACACGAGAAAACGGAGAAAATGGAATTAAGCTATCAGGGCAAGGTGGTGTCTTTTCAGGCACATTCAAAGTGAACAAGAATTTTATCCGTTGGCTTTTGGATGCCGAATTTGCCGCTTTTAGGCCCGACTTTTTTAATGTCTCGTTTGCCTTTTTTGGCTTACCCTGCTTGTCCTTTTGTTTTTTAAGCTGGTCCAGCTGGTGCTTCAACGAAGATTTAAGCTTTGGTCGTTTGATTGCCATAAAATAAAATTTATTGCTCGTTGTGCTACTTTTAAACCGGATTTAAGTTAACTAAAATCTGCCTCATCTTCTGTTTGAGGCTCGCTGTTTTCGGGCGAAGAGTCATGGAAGAGGGCAAAGTTCACCTCAACAACTACCATTTTAGAGGAAAAAATACCTTCTTCATCTTCGGCCAAGCAACCAGCAGAGTCCGACTGCTGTTCTACTGAATTTCGCTCAAATAACTGCCTTCCGGTCAGTTTTTGGGTGCCTGAAGATGTCTTTGGCTTGCTGGCATCAACTTTGTGAGCGTAAAACGACGTTTTCCATTCTAAAAAGGCTTCCTCTGTAACAAGGGCTATATCCTCTCTCTATAATTAAAAATAGCAAGTACATTCAGCTCATTTTCAGCATCGTCTAGCCCCAATACATTTAAAGATGACTCATGCGGCGTGCTTGAAAGTGTAGTGTCTTGCAGGATCTTTGTGAGAATGTGTACAGGTGCTGATAATTTCTCCTTGTTTTTGATCGAGTAGTTGTCAATCCATTCTTGCAAAAAGGACAACAAGGGCAGCAGCATCGGCGTGCCGGTTAACAGGGACGCCTAAATTGACAAAGCTACAAAAACCTGCTGAGATAGCTCGGAAATAAGCGTAGATTTGTAGGATTGGGCTATTCCATCGAGTTCGGTTATTTCAAAAGAGGGCGAAATGTTTGGATATGATTCATTCGATAAATGAAATCGTATCTTCAAACTTACTAAATTATGGGAGGATAATGTCAGGCGGTACATGATATGGAGCCTGTCGAGGTTCTCAATGATACTTCGATTCGAGTATAAGATCCTTCCTGTTCACTTCCTATAAAATTTGCATAACCCATGGTACCGGTTACATCGCTTCCATACATACATTCCAGGCAGAAAAGCTCATCGTGGATAATTGCATTTAACATGTAGGAAAAAATTATTTTTTATTATTTCCTTTTGACAAGAAACCCAGTAAGAAATCCGAGAGACAAAGATCCATATCTGGAAAACTATCAAATAAGAAGTAATTTTCACCAAACCTTCACAGCAGGTGAGGCAATCATTAATATAAATCGATGAAATCGCTTAAAATAAATACTATGTTAGTTAATATAAAAGCATTTGAGACGCATTCTCTAAGTTTCGATGGTGTAGTTGGTTATCACTTCTGTCTAACACACAGGCGGTCCTCGGTTCGATTCCGGGTCGAAACATTTTTTATTTTCGTTTAAATAATGATATTCTCATTTCTTCTGTTGAGTTTGAAAGTTGTCAGCGTCCTTGTTCTGTGCTATTTGATTGTCAGCCGCAAAAATAAAAGGTCAATATTGCCACCCGAGAGGAAGCCCAAAGTCATTGCTTCATCATCCGTTGGTGTTAAAATTTTTTTTGCCTCCAACAGCGGCCATTCTGAAAAATATGCCATTCTAATGCATGAATCGCTGTGCAGATTTTTCGCCAAGCATCCGAGTGCTAAGCGCAAATTTGCCTTATGTGGTCCCAAATCTCTCGAGTACTACGACCCCGATGACCTTTATACTGAAGATTCCGTTTTATTCCTTTTTGTTCCGACATACACGGACGGACAACCACCATTGGCTGCAAAATGGTTTTCCGCATTCTTGGAGGATGCTGCCAACGACTTTCGAGTGGATCGCTCAAGCCTGAAAAGGCTCAAGTTTGGTGTTTTTGGCCTTGGAGATTCTGCATTTGCCCCCGAGCATTTCAATACTGCTGGCCGTTGCATTGATAAAAATTTATCGTTGCTTGGTGCTACTCGAATCATCTCTTTTGGAAACGGCGATCAGCAAATTGACAGATTGAGCGTTTTGGGCGATTGGATTAACAGGGCGCAGCTTTTGCTAAGTTGCTATTCTGAAAATCCGGAATGGATCAGCATTCCAATGGAGGATTTTTCTCAAGCACTGCCATACGAATCGGACGAAGATATTTCGTCTGAGCCGGTAATTGATATGGAGGATCTCGAAATTCTAGATTCGCAAGAAAAAACCATGCAAGAGGACTCTAATGGCCGCTATTTCTCTGGCGTTGCTATCCAAAGCAAAAGAAAATCTCGACTTGCAAATGTCGTGCCCGCGTTAGAGGAGGAAGATGACCCTTCATTTTCCAAATTTATTCTGGAACCTTCGCCATCGGAAGTGCCCATGGTGACGCCGGAAATCGGCAGGTCTTTAACCAAACAAAGATATAAGGTTGTTGTGAGCCATTCTGGCGTCAAATTGTGCCGGTGGACCAAAGCAATGCTTCGTGGCCGCGGGGGATGTTATAAGCACACTTTTTATGGAATTGAAAGCCATCGATGTATGGAGGCTACTCCATCTCTCGCGTGCGCAAACAAATGCGTATTTTGCTGGCGCCATCACACAAATCCGGTGGGAACCCGCTGGGTGTGGAAGCTAGATAGTGCGGAAAGCATTGTTTCTGGAGCGCTAGCCGGCCATGCTAGCATGGTTAAGCAAATGATGGGCGTCCCTGGCGCTTCGCCAGAGCGGCTATTGGAAGCGCAAGTTGTTAAGCACTGCGCGCTTTCTTTGGTTGGGGAGCCCATTATTTATCCCCACATTAACGAGCTGGTTGCTCTTCTTCATGAAAAGTCGATCTCCACATTTCTGGTTACGAACGCCCAGTTTCCAGATCGAATAGCTCAGCTTTCGCCCATCACTCAACTGTATGTTTCCGTGGACGCATCCACTAAGGCTTCTTTGAAAAAGATTGACAGACCCCTTTTTTCGGACTTTTGGGAACGATTTTTATGCTCGCTGAAGGCCCTCAAAGAAAAGGTATGGTGCCTTGTATTTATGTGCTAGAAACAACGCACCGTGTATCGCCTGACCCTTGTCAACGATTACAACACCGAAAACTTGAAGGAGTACGCCAACTTGGTTAATGTTGGGGTGCCCGATTTTATCGAGATCAAAGGTGTTACTTTTTCCGGGGCCGGCTCCACAGCCACAACAACGGGGGCCGATACATCCGCCTCCTTGAGAATGTCGAATTGCCCATTCCACCATGAGGTGGTTTCTTTCTGCCAGCAATTGTGTGCTCTTCTCGGGGGAATGTATTCGATTGCCTCGGAACATGCACACTCAAACTGCGTGCTAATTGCACATGAAAAATTCTTCATCGATGGCAAGTGGTTCACTTGGATCGATTACGAGAAATTCCAGCAGCTTATTCGCCTGGGTCAACCCTTCACCTCTCTAGATTATGCCAAAGAAACGCCACAATGGGCCATGTTTGGTTCTGAGCATCGAGGATTTGATCCATGCGAAACACGGCATTATCGAAACAAGCAGCCCAAAGAGGCTGCGGTGGAGGTCACTAAAACTGGCAGTCCAGATGTGTGCTGTTCCACACAAAGCTCATCGAAAGATACCGAGAATCTCCCGAATTATAATCTCGCCACTTGTTCTTCTGGAGACTGTTGCATGGGGCAACGCCCAGAATCCGAGCCCGCTATGTGTGGAGACGCAGAGAGCCGCCCCTGAGCCCGATATCGCCGCTTCCCAGTCACTTAATATTATTAAAGTCCATAAGCTTTATTAATTTACCAAAGGGCCTTCGTTATTGTAGCGCTGCATTGGCTGCACAGCGAGCCAGTTTTCTTTTCAACTTTGCATTGTGTTCTTGAAGTCCCTTCATTAGCAGAATTGCAGATCTTAGTACTTCTCTGTGGCTCATTTGAAATTGCCTGTCCAGGCCCTGTGGTAGCAGCGAGCGAAGAGTAAACATGGCAGTTCTGAAGTTGGACCGTCTTTTTTGTTCAGACTGCAGATGTCTCTGTTTCTTTTCTAAAGATGTCATCGGAGATTTCTTTCCGGGTTTAAATACAAGTGCGGGTTCGCGGCTTTCTTCGGAGAGCATAAATTGATACTTTGGCGGCGAATGGATGTCAAGTGCTGTTGGATGGCCTTCATAAGTGGGCGATGGCTCTTCACGTCGCTTATATGTACAATTATCAGGATATGACGTGTTGGTATTCTCGGATCTATTTGTAAGTACATATGGGGAGTACTGGGATTTAGGGTAGCAGTGCAGTGCGCTCAAACTTGATGCAGGGTGGTCAGATTGGCGGGTTTCTGCAGGGTTCGGCCTGCATGGAGAAAATCCGACATATGAATATGTTTCCGTAGAAACACTGGAAGCTTGCCTCTCAAAGTCTCTTTCAAATGGAAGTTTATCGCGATGCTGGTGCTGATGGTGGTGATAGGCATTTGAAACATTCAAGGATCGAACAGTTTGAATTGGAATCGCTGAATGGGAGAGGCACGGGGCTTCTAATGCTCTGTTGATAGATACAAAATCAGGAATTGTCGTTAGCTCTTCTAGCCACAAATTCATGAGCATAGAACCTGAAGGTCCCAAAACAGCAAATGCAGGGCAATTCATCAAACAGGTTGCTGGAAATGGAAAATCGACCGAAATCAGTATCAAGCCGATCACAAAGTGATAAATATCAGTTGGATGATACAACCAGTAAAAATAATCAGTAACTAATGGGTAGCAATTTGACAGAACAATTTATCTCTGAATCACCGCGTCTGTATGACTCACAAATACTGGTGGAGCAAAAATGTTTCGTCCCGGGATCGAACCGGGGACCCTTCGCGTGTGAGGCGAAAGTGATAACCACTACACCAACGAAACTCGTTTAATTTTCAAATTAAAGATTTTAGTAAAATACAATTCAATCATATTACAAAATTTATTGAAAGTTACATGGAACCTTTGTCTCCATTTCCAACCTCGTTTTCCCCGAATGAAATAAGCGATTCAAATGATCCTTCGTCTTCGTCGTTATCGGCATCAGATACAGACCTCATTCAAGATGCATCTTTGGAAGAAGAGGATATTACTGCAATCTCAGATCAAAGTGCATGTCAGGATTTGGAGGCGGGTAGTCTTTTATCCAAGGATATTGATGTTAATACCGGTGCACATATGCCCACCATTCGGCTCAAATTGGTTAATATTTTAAAGTCCTCCAACCAACCCTTGTTACGAGAATCCCTGGGCAAATGTATCTCGGCGCTCAAAGTGTAGTTTCGCCTTGGTGTTTTATCATTAGAAAGGATGCATATGGGTTTTTCTTGGAGCCCGTTGATACCTCGATCGTGACGGACTATTTGAGTGTAATCAAGAACCCAATGGATTTCCAGACCATTACTCAGAAAAACGATATGAATCAATATTCATCATTCTCCCAAGTGCAGGTAGAAAATGCCCTTTTCATTGCCCTAGGAAGATTTCGAGCTTATCTGTTCAAATGCAATGACATACAATGCACCCACAACCATTTATTACAAAAGCGCCCAACGGCTTTTGAACATAGGACGAAAGATCATCAAAAGAGAGGCTCTCAGACTCAATGATCGATTATTGAAGCTTGCTTGTAAAAAGCGGGCCAATATTGATTCCATGAGCACCCACTTTTCTAGCCAAGGGAAACGGCGTCGTCAATGCGAAAAGGGGCTGCTGTCGCTATATGACCAAGTCCAGCAAGAATTGTCCTTCAGGGCAAACGCTTTGCCCGTTTCAACCAGAAAGGTTTTAGAAGCTAAAGTCGCATTGTTCAAAAAATTTTCAGACGGCTCGTGGCTTTTTTCGAGCAGAAACAGAACTCAAATCCCGTCCGTTTGCTACAATTCCGATGGCTCTCTCAATTGTGGTATGTCGTGTTCCCTCACTTTTATAGGACAAGAAAAGGATGTAAGAGAAATGCTGATCGGGCCATTTCACGACAAAATGGGATCTACAGAAAGTACGTTGTTACTTGGACCGTCTTCCCAGATCCTTGCATCCGTTTTGTCCAAGAATTTGAATTCCTCGCAAATGGTTGGCAAGCCGACCAGCAGTTTTTGGCTATCATCGCCTTCTAACTGTGGCTCCAGGTTTTACGATTCCTTGGGCTATCCGATTGAAGACTTTATTTCGCCATCCCTCTGCTTGGCATATGGCGATCCAAAAGGAAAGGAATTTATTAGCAAGCTTTTGCGAATGGATCAATCCACCTGTGACGCCTCCAGCTCTTCACCCTCTCGAATTTCCCGTGTGTTATCAAAGCTTGCAGACGACATGACACTGGGCGGCCATTCATTTATGGAAAGTATTGCCGCATTTAAGAATTCCGTGGGTAAATCGTCCCCGAAACATGAAGACCATGAAAAAACGTCAAACACAAATATCTGCAATGCAATTACAAACAAAGAGGCGGAAGATCCTGGGCATGCTCCCCAAAGCAGCGGTGGCGGCGATCTTGCTGCTCCCCAAAGCAGCGGTGGCGGTGATCTTTCTGCTCCGCAAAATCCCGGGAATTACACAGCTTGTAACGATCAGCTTCTTTTTGAGATTTCTTCGCTGCTGATCAAAATGAATTCGATAAAATCGCAACTGTTATCGTCTCGTTCTGTGGATCCAAGTTTAAAGGTTGAATTGGGCTCTGTTTCTTCTGAACTAAAGGAAAAATTGTCCAAAATTGCAAGACAATGCTCTCCGGCTGACTTACTGGGGCCAAGGTATGTTTCCCTCACTATTCTTTAGGATGGAATCCACAAGACAGTTTATGAAAGATCTAATTGCCGACCCGATTCCTACAAGTTACCCTGGAACTTTGCCCACTGTGCCCATGCAGAAATAAACCCCATCAAGTGTAGATTGCTCGGAATTAATTTTACAAATTTAATAAAATGTCAATTAATACGGAATGCGCTAGCCTAGAGGATTGAGCAGTTTAAAAAGAGGCACCGATGGCACGCTATATTGATACCCTATACTAAGCTACCCCAAATAACCTATAAAAAGCACAAATGGGATCCATCCATAGTGAAGAACATGCTTTGAGATCTGGACGAAGCGAGCATATGCCAGACTCGAGGATGAAGACATAATAAAATATTTAAAAAAATTATTTTAAAATGAAGAACAAAAAAGGTAAGAATACCCGCTTTCATTTCATCATTCGTAGTTCGAGCCATTCTGCAGCGAGAAGAAAACTCGAGAAAATATGCCGCAAAAAATAAAAGAAAAAACAAGGCCGAATCAGAATCCGAGGCATCTTCTGCTTCGATGTCAGATACCGATATTTCACTATCAGAGGATAGTTCCTTTTCAGAGGCAGAGTCCCTTGAAGCAGGATCTTTTTCATCTGAAGACGGACAGACCGATGATTTTGAGTTGAATGAGGAAGAAGGGGAGGAGGAAGAGGAGGAAGAAGGGGAGGAGGGGGAGGAGGGGGAGGAAGAAGGGGAACAGTCGAATCAGGATGATGACGAATTGGGAGGTATTGCCTATCCGTCCTCTTCGGAAGATGAAGAGGAGGCTTTCATTGAAAAGATTATTTATGATTCTGAAATTAAAGCCTGGAAAGAATCGGTGCATAAACTTTCCAACGCATCGAGTGTAGACCATGCACCGAGCATGGATTTTATTCGATTGGTCAAAAAAATCATCTCCGCTTGGAATAGAATGGTAAGCTCCCAATATCCATCCTGTTCGCATCCAAACAAGAAAAACAAAAGGGCCTCCTCTTTGGTCGCCAAAACGCAGCAAAAAATAAGAGCCGAGACGGAGGACGTTGAGGTCGCTTTTTTCTCTCTTGTTTTTGAGAATATTTTCCGCGATTTTCTATGGATAAAATTTTCTAATTCCGGCTCTGCTCGCCCCCAGCATATGTATCCGGAAGAGGTCAAAAGGCTGCGTAATCCCATAAAGGGCGTCATTGAAGCTCTAACCTCAATATTTGACCATGCTCCATCAGGGTCTTGGATGCATACCATCATACTGGGCGAACCCCTAGAGAGAATGCTTCCATTTTTTGCTATCTTTCCTGTTGCGTTTTCACGATTGCTAAAGATTCTCATTACAAAGGTATGGATATCATTACCCGGCGAGAATGACGAAATGATGTTAAGCTTTAAGCGGCTACAGAGCTTTTTGCTAACAACATGCTTCAAGTACCCATCCTTTGCTAGCAAAATTGTTGTCAAGACAGCGTATGCATCGTGGATCAAATCTCTCGTTAATATGTCGGTCCACAAGCATGAAAATGCAGGTTTTTTGCTCGAATCTTTATGCGAGCTTTTCTTTGCCATTCAAGATGCACAGAAACAATATGACTTTGCGTTTCTTTCCCTAAGGGCTCTGGCCCTAAGTGCTAGATCCCAATTGGTAACTTGCGCCACCTCATCGGAAAAAAAGAAGGGGCAACTTGTGGCACAAGGAGGGCAGCTAAAAGTTGTCCCCAAAAGCTGGACATTCATCTATGCCATACGGTTCTGGTCTCGTGTCATTGGAACGACAACCTCTTCCGTTGCGAAGGAAAATTCTCCATTGATGCTTTTAAAATATCCGCTTTTGCAGATAATATCTGCAGGCGTCGCCGCAAGCGGGAAGTGTCCCAGAGAAATCCCATACCAGCTCCACCTTGTAGATTGTGCCGTTTCCTTTTTGCAAGTGAGCATTGGGCTCCCTATTGAAACCCTATTAAGGATCATCAAAGAAGTCATCGAATCAATCCGGAAGCCGGGGAAGATGGATAAAAAGCCTGCAGATCCCGTATCTTTAGACTGGAAATCGTTGCTAAAAGGCCCTGCAGATGCATCCGCCGCCCCTTGGTATTGGGATTTGGTGGGAAGGCGTGCTTCATATCTATTTGCCAAATGTGCTTTATTGCACTCGTCAAGTGCAGATTTTCCAGAAGTCGTAGGATTGCCATTGCGCTGGGTATCAATTTTATTGAATTATTTGTAGATCCGGGGCTGGTTAAAAAACGAATGCAAGGACACAAGGATATCAATAGCAAAGAGACTTGTGCTTCTTGTTCGAACTTTGGAGGAGCATTCTTGCTCGATCTCCGAGGCAAGAAAGGGCCTCAACGTAACAAGTGTCATTTCGGTCGAAGGAAAGCAAGCAACATACAGTCACCTGATCGACACAAGCAAAACATCAAGTTCTAATCAATTGGCCACGGTTTATAAACAGTTTGCCAACGAGGATGGATCGATTAAATAATTATTTATTTGACCCTAAATTAATTAATGAAATTTAAAAGGAAATTTTTGCGTCAGTTTCAAGGCCATCCCACCATCCATCCATCTCAATCAATCAAATTACACCACAGTAATGCCATTTCCTATCCAAGTTGCGGCGATAGCCATTTCCAATATAAGGAGATCAACCAGGTTTTCCAGATTTTTAGGCAAAAGGCATTTTGGTACTTTACCGATCCACTTATCATAGCGGAGAGAATCATCTGCACGCCAACTCTGGCTGATTCCATCACCGAGGGGGTGCTGTCTTCTTGGGAAAAAAGTTTCTCCACATGCATGGCTAATTTTTAGAGGTCGGCGACGTCGTTTCGCGAGACGAAGTGATTGCCAATATTGAGACCGATAAAATCACCCTTCCCATTACCACTCCTGAGCATGGCAAAATTATAGAATTCTTTGCAAAAGAAGGCGACAATGTCACTGTTGGGTCGCAGCTATTTAAAATCGACTCTTCTGCAGACACAGAGCATGTGGAAAAGCCGCAAGAGCCCGTAGCGACTTCTTCCCCTCAGGAAAGTCCAATTCAAACTCCCAAAGCAGCCGAACTACCTCAGAAGAATGTAAAAGCTGCCAAGGAGACAAAGGCTGTTGACGAACCCAAGTCCCCCTCAAAGACGGAATTAAGTTATAAGACACCGTCACCGTCGGGATCATCGGCATCCAGAACAGAATCGAGAAAACGGCTTACCCCGATGAGAGCAAAAATTGCAGCCCATTTGAAAGAATCGCAAAACATAAATGCCTCCTTGACGACCTTTAATGAAATTGATATGTCTTCGCTGATTGAGTTCAGATCCATTCACAAGGACGCCGTTTTGAAAAATGATGGTGTCAAGCTTGGGTTCATGTCTCCGTTTATCATGGCCGCAACCCGAGCCCTCCAAGAAAATCCAATGGTTAATAGCCGAATTGAGGGCTCCGAGATCGTCACTCCATCTTATGTTGATATTTCGGTGGCCGTTTCCACGCCAAAAGGCTTGGTTACTCCGATTATTAGAGATTGCCAACTAATTACTAGCTTTGTTGAGATTGAAAAGACTCTTTCTTCGCTTGCAGACTTGGCCAAGTCAAACGGACTCACCCAGGAGCACTTGAAAGGCGGCACATTTACAATCTCAAATGGAGGTGTATTTGGATCGCTCAGCGGGACCCCTATAATTAACCTGCCTCAGTCGGCCATATTGGGGATGCACGCAATCAAAGAAAGGCCCGTGGCAATCAAAGGAAATGTACCAGCCCCACTTGCCAACTCTAACCATATAGATTGTCATCCGCCCAATGATGAATGTTGCTCTTACTTATGACCATAGAATTATCGATGGAAGAGACGCCGTCATGTTCCTCGTCCGCTTGAAGGCTCTGCTGGAGGACCCTAGACTATTTCTATTATGAATAAAAACGTTCATATTTTATTTGGCAGTGCGTGGCGTTTGCAGCTGTCATTGACGGCAAGAAACGAAACTGCACTCAAAAGTTGAAGATTTGGTGTTCGGTGTGTAAAAAACAGGGCTACACAGTTGCGATGTAAATTCCAGCCGACTACATTTACAAATCGCCAGACAGCTCAATTAGCTAATCAATCCGAAATGGAACAAATGTGGGCCAAGGGTTTTATGTAGTTGCGGATTTATTTACAAGATACCATTTGAGTAATACTGGAAAGAATCATACAGCTTTGTAAAGATGTTGTCATATGAGGCGGAAATGAGTTTTTCCACATACTCTACCACCTCTGCGTCTGTGTAGGAAAGGACAAACCGTTCTCTGAGGTGGTACAGGGCAATGTCAGCTCCAGAGTAGAAGCATGCAAGCGAAGAGTCCTTCATCATCATCTCCACAAGCAATAGGATGCGTTCCGAGTGCTTTCGCAGGGCAAGAAAGGCCTTTACAAATCGATCTCTGAATTCGTATTGAAAAAGCGGCGATTCGGCACCTCCAAGAATATCAACCCATTCTGAGAGCAATTTGAATGGCGCCGATTCAAACCCCACGTATCCCGGTGAATTGGACAGCATGAACCCGAAATCGATATGGATAAGGTGTCCCGAACTATCGATCAGAATGTTGCCATTGTGTCTAAATGTGATTGAGCCTCCCCTGTGTAAAGATACCTGTCCTTGAGTGCCAAAAGATATGTCAACAAAGAGTACCCGACCAGCGAGGCAAGAAAGGCTTCTCTCGCGTTGATGAACGACTTTGAGGTGATGTTCCCAAAATTCTATTCAAAGTCAGGCGGCCAAAGGCTTACCTTGATGAAATAAGTTAATAACGTATAGGACTGGGGATAATTGGGCACCTCAACATTTACATCTCCCTCTTCAAGGATGCAATATTGGAGCTCTGAATCAACCGCATGGATGAGATTTTCCGATAAAGGCTCGATGGAATCCCTTTCCACTGGCGAGGGCAGTTTCGAACTGACACAGATCCCTTCCTTTTTCAAAGAGTGCAGAGAGATCGAGTCCGTGATCGTCTCAATCAGCCCGGAGTTTCCGGATGTCACTAAAATTTGGAAGCTAGAAAAAAGCAATAAGCACCTACTATTTGAGCCACACCTCTTCCGAGGGCTCCAAAGAATCTTTCCAAATGCACAGCATCTCTTTGATGATCTGGACTGCAAGAAGTTCTTGACGCAAGTCGGCAGATGATTTGACAATCAGGGAATGAAGGGCCCAGCCGGATCTCCCACCAAAGGGCGAAGAAAGCTGTACCCGCTTCATCTTGTCTTGCCAATTTTCTTTCATTATCGAACCTACAGTAAATATTTACGCCAATCTCTCACATGATGGATCTTCATGCAGCATCTGGTCTTTGACAAGAGCCAAGTCATTTACGATGTTTTGACACTTATCGTTCCCTACGCTGATGAAGGAAGCAGCGCCAGAGGCCTCAGATGACGATTTTAGCTTTTGCAAGTCGAGTAACTCCATTTCCTTTATGATCCGCGACCGAATGGTCGATATGGTGGCCGGGTTTAAATTTTTTGTAAGCGTCATTTGGTGAAGTTGTGCCAATAAAATGGCAGCCGTGCGCATTTTGTCGTAAAACTCGCACGCGCTTGTTGAATTCAACATGGAGTAGGAAGGCTCATTGTCTCTAAGAAGCTCCACATCAGATGAAGATGAAGAGGAAAAGGAGTCCGCTTCAAGCGGAGACTCAGAAGTGCAGTTGCTCTCCGTTTCAATAAGAATCATAAAGGGGACACGTTCTGCAGAATTCAGTACGACCGCCTCTGTGGGGCAGATTCGCAATATACGTGCGTGAGGAACGGCCGAATTTCGAAGGCATTCAGAGCACCAAAATGGGATACAAACATTGGCGGGTAGGTTGTGGTTGAGCAGGCTCAGTTCGGCCTGCAGGGCCTTTTGGCGTGACGACTTTGGAATGCGGAAAAGCCGTTCTGAAATCTCTGTCAGGGCACTAATAAAGGCCATCTCTGAGTGATAATAGTGCGTCGATTGAATGTCAGCACATAGCTTCGGCTCGGAAAAAAAGAGCGGAAGACTATTTTCCTCCGCATCTGCGATGCTATTGCTTAAAGATGATGATGCAGGAAGAGATGCAGATAGATTGTCTTGTTGTAGACAGGGTCTAGACTCTGGCCTTTCCAGACTGGTAGTCGATCGCGGCAATGACTTGAGTGTAGATATGGGGACTTTTGAGAAGGCGGTTTCCAGTTTTGAGAGCGAACGCTGCAGGGAAAAAGCCTTTCCCACATAAAACTCATCCCAGGAAGGGTTGATTTTCTCTGCAATTGCCTTCAAAATGGTAGCCATAGATTTTTGAGTGAGATTTGTATGCCCTTGTGCTCGATCTGGAGACCCGCCATCTACCTTAAAAAGTGTCGAAAGGCCTTGTTGCAGAGAAAACCGCCGAATCTCCTCTAGGCCTTGCGGAGAGACTATGGACGCAGCTATCGCTCCCATGCCAACAAAAACTGATTTGATCGAATAGGGCGAGATTTTAAGTGGACATGACGCGCCTATTGGCGGCAAAGGAGTAAGGGCGAGCGATTCGGTGTCGTTCTGCAAAAGTGAGGAGTGGAATCGCGCCTTTAGCTTGGAAATCCTGCCGATATAGGTGGCAATCTTTTTTTCTGCAAAGTCGGCTTCATATGATTCCAGTAGCCATAGCACCTAGGGTAAAGGCAAATGAAAAGTACTGTAATGGAAAGATGAGACCACTTGGATCCAAGGTTGACAAGAAGGTTCTCCAAAGACACAGACTGTGAGGCTGTGCGGGTCACCAATAAGTGGCTACAATCAGCAAGGGCAAGACAAACCATAGTTGCGGGAGTAAAAACGAAATTTCAGATATCGGTTGCTCGCTAAGCCTTTTGCAAAGGTACTCTTGGATGCCTGGATCCAGGTATTTGTACAGATAAGAAACTGCAATCCATGTGTTGAAAAAGTCGGACTCAAAGAGACGCAACAGGAGGGACTGCATGTGATCAGAAAAGAAAAGGACCTGGGATATCCACCAATCAGGGGTTCTAATCAAATTAGATTAACCTTGTGTAGGGAGGATAAATTTTAGCGTGGAATTTACAAATTTTGGAAATTTTCCCATTCACACTTGGTCATTTTGATTTTAACGATGCCCAAGCCCCAATGGAGACAGCCCCATGTGTAGAGTTAGGCTTTGGCATATGGGAGCCGACCGTGGTAACCCTCTCACCCCGCCTCGGCATCCCAAAAGCATGGCACCAATTCTAACTAGCCATTAAATTTTAATCAATTGGAGACAGGGTAACACAAGTGCACTAAAATGTAGCCCCATATGGATGGGTGGGCTGTAATTTACGGTGCCAAAAGGATATGCAATTTACGGCGTCAAACGGATATGCAATTTAATCTTCAAAATTAATTTAAGTTACTGGAGTTCTCGTAGCACTTCTGGCGTGACATGATCGTGCCTTTTGGAAGCACATAGCCTTCTGAGCTCTTCCTTTTCTTGTCCAGGCAGCGCTTTTCGGTACCTTTGCACAAAAACAAGCAAACACTGATGCCACAAAAGGTAACATGGCCTTGGATCGTCGAGGAACGAAGTAAAATGCCCCACCAAAGCGGTGACAACCCGCTGGGGGAGAGAATATTTTTTATCCAGCAAGGTTCTGATAAAGATGGAGACACACCCCGAATATTCTATCTCAGTAAGCTTTAGCAAGCATGCTGCAGAATGCAGGACGGGAATGGATTGTTTAACGAGCACCGAGGAAACAATCACTGCTTCTCGAAGGGAGCAGTCCCCAGAAGCACAAAGAGGGAGAATAATTCCTTTATAGAAAGCCGATGGCTTGTAGATGGCCTTTTTCAGGGCATCGTATAGATAAACATTGAGTTTTTTTTGTTCCGAAATATTGTTCCGTACGTGCGGCAAAAGCACGCTTTCATAAAAGAGCTGCGCTTGCAATGGCTTTAAAGAGGAGGCAAAGAGCCTTGCGGCTTGATAAACGGCATGTGGTGTCCACTTTTCTGGATTGGTGAGTACCAAAATATCGGGCCAATTTGAAAGGGCAGGAAGTACCTTAAAGGCCTTGGGCAACTTTCCCGATTTATAACGCGACAGCAAAAGCCCTAATTTTTGGTACACTTGCACAACTCTTTCGGGAAAAACCAATGGCGCCTGGGATTGCGCAGTGGAAACGCGGGGTTCCGATTGCTCCTTTGACTGATCCAGCTTTTTAAGAATAATCTCAGCAAGGGTAAGAGGAACACCTTCACCAGAGTCTGCGGACGGGCGGATCCATTTTTCGAACAGCTCACGGTCTCCATGATCAAATTGCGTGTCTTCATCATTGGCATCTGCATACAAGGCATCTAGTTCGTCTAGAAGAGCCTCGTTTGGTTCGTAATCCGACTCTTCGTCTACATATGATTCTTCACTGTCATCAGAGCCGCCAAGGGAAGTTTCTTGCGAAACCTCGTGCTCCAGTTCCTTTTGCTGCGATAAGACTTTTGAATAGAGCCGTTTTGTCATTTTGTCTTTTAAAAAATCGATAGAACTTTCTTGAAGCTCTTCGGCATGGTCAAGATCTGAATTGCCTTCATTTGGGTCGTCGTCGTCGTCGTCGTCGTCATTTTGAGGCGAACAAACCACGGCAGGAGCCAATTGGTTGCGATTCTTTTTTCTAAAGCTCTGGGGTTTTGAGGCGGAAGGGGGCGGCAATACCTGTACGTCTCTGATCATCTGTAATTCTAGCGACTCAGCATGGCAAGCGGGGATGAGGTTGGACCTCTTTTGGCTCGAATGCATTTTATTAAAAAAAATCTCTTGGCTTTGAATTTAAAATGGAAATTAATTTGTGGATCGCATGCAACGAGTCCTGGATTATCACAATCAGTCTAGATAATTGGTCTATCGGCAACATCATTTTGAAAAGCAGAGATATGTCGTGATGCTTTTGCGGCAGCGCCAAAATGATTTCTCTGATTTTGTCGATAACCGTTTTTCTGCCGTAAATGCTCACATGTTCACTGGAAAAATCCAGTCGCGTTAATATGTTAATAGATAATTTGAGGCTATTTGCAAGCTCTATTCTAATAAAAGACAGAAAGGGGATGATTGTGTCTGCATAGCGGATGTTGAAATTCACGTTTTCCGAGCAATTCGACCGGATCAATAGTGCTTGGTTCAAAATGGAATGAAGATTCCTCTCGGCACTCTAAAACCGATTGGCTGTGGAACTTACCTGTAAATATGCGGTACTTGTCTCCAGAATAAACGCCGTATCTGCTCTGGAGGGAGGTGGGTTTTGAACGGCCGGGAAGATTTTAATTCCCATTTGGGCTCTAGATGCACAGGATGAACCAATGTTTGGATAGGATTCTGATGAAGAAAAACGGTTTTGCTCAAATGGCCTTGCCAAAAATTCGCTGCGATAACCACAGTTGTTTATGCTGTTGTAGTAGGGTGAATTTTCGTAGCCCATATGTTGATTATGCGGGCGTTGGTGTGTTGATGGCATCTATAGACAAATTTGGCTACTAAATGCCCAATTTGGTTTTCAATTTAACTTGTGATGCGGGATTGATCTTGCATTGTTATTGTACATTATGATCGCAAAATTCAATTTCAGTTGTTAATTTAGCCGCAAATTAAAGTTTACCAGGCCACGGTCAAATCGATTGCTTTTGCAAAAAGCACATTGCATTGCAATGACAATAATAGCCTTTGAGGGCATCGATCATTCCGGCAAGTCAACACAAATCCAACTGCTGCAGCAGGCGCTGGAGAAGCTGGGGAAAAAGTCTGTAGTCATTCGGTTCCCATGTATGTAGACCGCTTTCTTTCAAATAGCAAGGGAAACACCGATTGGCCAGCTTTTGGATTCCATTTTACGAGGCGCTAGCGCTATTTCATCTAGAGAGGCAATTCACCTTCTATTCTCTGCCAATAGATGGGAAAAATTGTATGCCAGCCCATCACCTAACATTTCTAACCATAGGTCTGAGATTATGCAGCATCAACATTCGGGCACTTTAGTGATCCTGGATAGGTACAAGGCCTCTGGGATTGCCTATTCACTAGCAAATGTTGGGCGTTTTGGCATAATTTATAGGGCCTGCCATTTGATTGGTGCATGGGTGCCGATTCGAAGCTCCCAGACCCGGATCTGACCGTTTTTTTGCAAATCAAGTTGGATCTTGCGTCATCCAGAGACGGATATGGTGATGAGATCTACGACGTCTCCTCTTTCCAAGAAAAGGTGGCCTGTGGCTACTCCAAATTGATTTCACATGGAAACTGGTATGTTGTAGATGCTACAAAACCTCCTGATCAAATAAACAACCTCATTATGGCTGAGCTGTTGGCGCGGGCATTTATTAAGTAGATTCCGCTCGTACGGTGTCGTACATCATGGCGTCAAGTAAATTCTTTAACCCTAAATTTACATTTCAATTTGCCAAGTGCAATTTATAGTTCTTCCAGATGGATAGGGTTCGGCTCCATTTGTTAATCCACTAGGAGGCGCGTGGAATGTTATGGGTTGCACCGACCACCAAATTTTCGTGCCACTTGGAGGCTTTCTATTCCCAAAAAGCTGGTCATCTCGATTTCAAAAAGCTGGTCATCTCGATTTCAAAAAGCTGGTCAACTTTTCTGGGCTTTCAACAACTTTTCTTAACCAAACCAGGCCTTGTATTACTTTCCCAGACATTGACTGGTCCGAAAGGAAGACGGAAGTCACTTTAAAGCATGACAATGCGACCGTTCAGCCGAGCAGCTTTTCTGAGGATGTTTTTGGTGGAGCTTCCTACTGTGAATGGGATCTCCCCTGGCTGACTGGTTATCTGGACGATTTTGATGGAATCCATACGCTTTCCCTTGACTTTGTCAAGGAACAAAAAAAGGAACTTTCTCCCACCATCAACGCCGATCCGTCGCCATCTTTACCGCTTGAAAATGATGTCACAAAACCACACGTGGGTGCATTTGAGGAACTTTATTATCCTGAAATAGATGCCGTTGTAGAAGGCGTCCTTGCCAACGCTTCAAGCCCATCCTCAATTGAAAGGTTGGAATATCATAGAAAGACAACAATGATATCCTCTTCATCTTACACTCAATTTGGGGCCCCAAAGAATACGTGGGCCATTCCTGTTTCGCTAACTGATCCCGTGGAGCCAATCGCAAATCCTATTCTTACATTCCCTTTTGAACTAGATTCCTTTCAAAAACAGTCCATTTATCACCTGGAACAAGGCCATTCGATTTTTGTGGCGGCCCACACTTCAGCTGGAAAGACCGTTGTTGCAGAGTATGCGGCGTCTTTGGCTCTATCAAAGCTTTCCAGAGCGATATATACAAGCCCCATCAAAGCGCTTTCCAACCAGAAGTATCGTGAATTTTCACGACGCTTTTGTGGCAAAGCAAAAAAAAACAGCACATGCAAAGATGCGTCTTTACAAGATGGCATTACTGAAGATCTTGAAAATATGGATCTCGATCCTGGTCTGGCGAGAGATGTTGAGGCTTCCTTGGCTTATTCTTCATCGTTTCGGCAAAGAAATCTTGAAACATCAGTGGGACTTCTCACCGGGGATATACAGGTTAATCCACATGCCTCGCTGTTGGTGATTACAACGGAAATTTTACGCTCCATGCTGTACAAAAACTCTCCCCTGCTCTCTGATCTTTCGTGTGTAATTTTTGACGAGGTCCATTACATGAACGATTCGGAGCGCGGTGTGGTGTGGGAGGAGACCCTAATTTTGCTCCCTCCAACCGTTCAGCTTGTCCTTCTTTCCGCAACTCTTCCAAATGTGATCGAGCTTGCCGATTGGCTTGGGCGAACGAGAGGGCAACCGATTTGGGTGATCACCACTCCGCATCGTCCGGTGCCTCTTGAACATTATTTGCTTCATGTTCCTGTTGCCACAGGCAGCACATATAAACCCATTCTACTGTCTGCCCCTGAAAATCAAAAGCCTTTTTTCAGTATCAATCCAGCAGCTTCTGCTAGAAAGGCTTGTAATCCAACCCAAAAAGCGCCCTCAAAAGTACCTTCCAAAAACAATCCTACTGCTGGTGGCGGAATTAAAAGGAACCCTTCTGGTGGGTCAAGGGGCTATTTTAGTCCCCATCACATTAAGGGAGTGTTGAATTTTATTCAACGCTGCGCTCTGCTGCCTGCAATTCTGTTTGTTTTCAGCAGAAAGCGGTGTGAAGAGGCAATTGACTTGTTATCAAAGATGAACATCACTTTGCTGTCCAAAGGCGAGCAGTATTTTGTAAATAAGTTTCTCAACCAGCGGGTTTTATCTTTGCTGTCCACAAAAGAAGATGAAAAAACCCTTCCTCAAGTGATCGGAACCATTTCGGTGCTCAAAATGGGAATTGCCACGCATCATTCAGGGTTGCTTCCTGTTCTCAAGGAGGCCATTGAGATTTTGTTTTCTTTTGGAATCATTAAGCTTCTTGTGGCAACCGAGACATTTGCAATGGGCATTAACATGCCTGCACGGTGTGTTATTTTTGGAGAGCTTCAAAAACCAGACGGGACCACTGGCTCTAAGGGTCGTCGTCTATTAACACCAGGTGAATACACCCAGATGGCCGGGCGTGCTGGACGTCGAGGGCTTGATGAACGGGGCCTGGTCTTTGTATGTCATGAACAACAAGATGGCGGTTGTGAAGATGGTTTCAAGCTCAAATGCAAGCAGTTGATTGATGGAAAGGGCCAGCCTCTGCAGTCTCAGTTTCGACTTACCTACAACACGATCCTCCAATTGATCCGACGCCCCAATATTCAGAACTATTCGAATCAAAGCAGCGAAAATGGTGTTGCCAACGTGAGCGACCTGATACGAAAGAGCTTTTTTGAAAACGCCACACAGCGCAGCCTTCCTACCCAGGCGGCTTCGTTACGGCAGTTGGAGCTCGAGCTTGAAGATATTTGTATCCCCATCTGCCCGTATGGCTGTGACGAGGAAATGATGCAGAACATACGTGAACGAGTCTCCCGTGCAAGGGAAAGCGTTTCTACCGCTTCTTTTGTTCCTGGGCGTCGTGTTGCATCAATATCGGAAGCGACAGAATTTTTGCAGCCAGGCTTGATACTTGCTGATGTGGGGGCAAGTAGGAGCGCCACCTTCCCTGGCGCCATTGGGCCTGGAAAGCTTTCCGAAAAAGCGCCGGCAAAAAATGCTGCAAACAGCTTTCTGGTGCAGGTTCTTTTCTTCCCAATAGCAAAGGGAAATCCTTGGAGGGGACAATTGGAGCGACCCATCGATGCAGGCCGCCCGAGTTCAATCTCCATTCAGGCCGTGCCTGCAAATGAGCTGATTCCTGTCGGGGGGAACAAGTTAATTCCGATTGAGAACTACTCATCCAACATGAAATTCGACTCGTCAGCTTATCAGGGTTTACTGGATGCAGTTTTGGCCTTCCACTTGGAAGAGAATGGTCCAGACTTTTCACGCGCATCAGATGATCAGGGGTTTCTCAATTTTGGGCAGGCTTTTGGGGGTAGCCATGCTTTGCCTCAATGCCCAGCCTTTTCGGAACACTGGGCCACATTTCATCGTATTCACGAGTGTCGCCACAAAATTGATGCCCTCAAATGGAGTCTCTCTGCCGAGTCGCTCTCGCTGCTTCCCGAATATGAAAGCAGATTGCGAGTATTGGAGCTCTGTGGATTCATTCAAGACCATGCCATCATTACGCTGAAGGGCCGCATTGCATGCGAGGTATCGCCATTTTTGCTGCCTTTTAACCTATTTTGTGATGCTTATTTTTGCTATTTTTGCCATTTTTGCTTGCAATGCTAACTGGTAGATCCAAACTGCAGATGAACTTCTTGTGACGGAGCTTCTTGTTGGGCGAATGTGGGGTCCAACGATGCCGGCTGCAGATATCGTTGCTTTGCTTTCGGTCTTTGTTTTTCAAGAGAAGACATCAGAAGACTATGACGTGCATACTGTCCCGGAACATTTGCTTTCCCATGTGCAAGAAATGCGAGCCGTTGCAAACCGTCTGGGAAGCATACAACGCGAAGCAGGGCTTCCTCTTTCCGCTTCCATCTCCAATTATGAAAAAATCAATACGGGGCTCGTTGCTGTCATACATGCCTGGGCCTCGGGGAAGCCGTTTTCCGAAATTTGCAAAATGACAAGTACACAAGAGGGCATTATTGTGCGCACCGTGCTTAGGCTTGATGAGACATGCAGAGATATTCGGAACGCAGCTCGCATTATGGGAGACTCTCTCCTTCAGGAGAAGATGCTGGAGGCATCTTTGATGATTAAGCGGGATATTTGCTATCTCAAGTCGCTCTATCTCGATTGAAGATCATTTCAGCCAAATGGCACCAATATGCTCCCGACGGCTCCAATTCATCCCATGCTTTTGTAGCCTTTCATCCCATGCTTTTGTGGCCTTTCATCCCATGTTCGCTTCGGCAAATAAAAGTTTTTGGCTTGCACTTTACTGTGTCTTCCATTTGCCATGTTGGCATCAAAGTGGTCCACAAGCTACGCCTATCCATTCAGCATGCAAATGCGTTCAAACAGGCAGGTCCATCATTTATTATAAAAGCAATCCTTAAGGTCAGCTGGCGATGCAACATGGATCGGCCTTTGAAACATGTATCGGTAGCTGATACCGCTCACCACACCAGTCTCGCGGTCTTCTCAAAATCGCAGCTGTGTCTATGTACCAGTATCATCACCCGTGTCTTTGTCCTGCAATTGCTGGAGGACTTCCATTTGGGCCAGTCTGTCTTCAAAGGAAAGCGTAGCCTTCATATTTGGCTGCATTCTGTTATGTATGACTGCCGGTTTCTCCCGCTGCAATTGCTTTCTAGCGATCCAGAGCCCCGCGCATCCTGCAGCTATATAGGCCATCCATCCATAGATCACGCTTCCGGGTGTATTCATCCAAACACTGGGGTTTTGTTTTTAAATTTAATTCACACTTTGCTGAACCCATGCATGAAGGGTGAAAATTTTTCTTTTTTTCACTATGCCGTGCCTTCGTTCTCAGAAGCGTCTTGCCTCCAGTATTCTTAAATGCGGCAAGCGCCGTGTGTGGCTTGATCCTGCAGAGGCCAGTGATATTTCAAACGCCTCGTCCCGTCAGCAGGTCAGAAAACTGATTGCCGATGGGCTTGTCATCAAAAAGCCTCAAGCCATCCATTCTCGGGCCCGTGTGAGAGCCATGTTAGAGGCCAAGAGAAAGGGCCGCCACTCTGGACCAGGTAAGCGCAAGGGTACGGCCGAGGCTCGTATGCCCTCCCGCATCCTATGGATGCGCCGCATGCGCGTTCTTCGTCGCCTGCTACGCAAGTATAGGGAGTCTGGAAAAATCGACAAGCATCTTTACCATGACCTCTATCTTAAGGTCAAGGGTAACGTCTACAAGAACAAGCGCGTCCTCATCGAGGCTATTCACAAAATCAAGGCAGAGACCCTGCGTACCAAGATGCTTGCCGACCAGGCCGAAGCTCTTCGCATCCGCAAGAAATCCGCCTATGATAAGAAGCATGAGCGTGTTGCTGCAAAAAAAGCTGCTTCCGACAATCACTACTCAGAGGAGATGAAGAAGGAAATTGCCAAGCAGAAGAAATAAATCTTAAATATTTTCCTAATTGGAGAACGGCTGATTGGCTTTCAGCCGGCTGCTAGCCAAGCACATCGGGTTGCGGTTATCAAGCGCATGAAAATCGATCTGGGGCTCTTTAAAACGGGTGCAGACCCCCTTTTGCTAGGCATGTTTCGCTTGCGGCATGTTATAATTTACATGCGCAAGTGCACAGTGGCAATTAAGGTTTGCCTTTAGGTCAATCAACCCTGAATTCCAGAATCGGGCGTATAATCAGAATTTGAATCACTTGATAATTTATTGAGGTTAATGGAAGTTGGATATCGTATGTAGCTGGGTGTTATTATTCCATCATAGGCGAATATTCTTCTCCAGCAACGGGTACCGTTCCAGACTCTCCTGTTGAAACGCTCTATGAAAACTTTGAATTTGGCTGTAAACGGGACCCGGATGCGCCCTGTTTGGGGCGTCGAAAGCCTCTGCAAGGGGGCGGTTCCTTTGCCGATAAATACTCGTGGCTTAGTTATGCTCAGGTGCAGGAGTTGCGAAATGCCGTGGGCTCCTATTTGAGGCAAGAACATTTTTCCACGGTTCGTTCGGAGCTTAAATCGGTTGGCCTGTATTCTATCAACCGACCTGAATGGGTCATTGTAGAGCAGGCTTGCAATGCATACTCCTTAGTGTCGGTCGCGCTTTGTACGCATTTTGTGTGGCTAATACGCGATAGATGACACGCTCGGCCGGGAGACAATTTCTTACGTAATTAACCACTCGTCGCTTTCAATTGTCTTTACGACAAGAGACAAGCTGGCCAATCTTCTTTCCATTTCCAAAGAAACGTCCTGCTTGAAGACCATCGTGTGCATGGACAATGATGTCGATGGTGACAATCAGGGTGAACCTGCACGTGGTGATGGCAACGAAAAACCCCGAAAGCGATATGACGCAACTTCGTTCGATTCTCTTGCTTCTCAATGGGCCTCAGATAGAAAGGTCAAGTTGGTACCATGGTCCAGTGTCGTTTGCAAGGGCAGAAAAAATCCGCTGCCCTGTGTCCCTCCACGCCCCTCCGACCTGGCCTCGATTTGCTATACTTCCGGAACAACGGGAACCCCCAAAGGAGCTATACTTTCACACTCGTACCCATAGCTTTGTGATGGCGCTTTAGAAATTATGTAGCTGCGATTCCTTGTTTGTTGTCGCTCGGGGTTGAATTAAATTCGGGCGATGCTCATATCTCATATCTTCCACTTGCACATTGCTTTGAGAGGCTGGTGCAAGTAGCCGTGGTCTTTTTGGGAGGAGCCATTGGATTCTATTCAGGAGATGGTAGCGATTTCCTTGATCATACTAATGATAATAGTTACACGCATCGCAGAGGATATGAAGATCTTGCGGCCTATCATCTTCATTAGCGTTCCCAGGCTTTTGAACAAGATTTACTCAAGGCTGCTCTTTGAAACACTGAATGCTCCAGGCGTCCGAGGATTTCTTTTCAGACGAGCCTTTTTATCAAAAAGAAGAAATTTTGAAGCCTCCGGGGCACTTTGCCACTCGTTCTGGGATGCGCTTTTGTTTTCAAAGATTGCATCTGTTTTTGGGGGCAGAATCAAATATGTCATTTGCGGCTCAGCACCCATCAATCCAACCGTTTTGCAATTTCTTCGCGTTGTGCTTTCCGCCCAAGTGTTTGAGGGATATGGCGCCACGGAAAGCTCTGCGTGTGGATCAATTACGACCGAGGGCGATCCATTATGTGGCTCAGTTGGATTTGCCACCATAGGGGGCAAGATCCGTCTCGTAGATGTGCCAGAGTTGAACTATAGCGTCGCCGATAGTCCCCAACCGAGGGGCGAGATCCTTATCAGTGGCCCCTTTGTATTCAGTGGATATTACAAGGATGACAACATGACAGCATCTACGCTTACCCCTGATGGCTGGCTGCAAACTGGTGATATCGGCACCGTTGACCGCGATGGACGACTCTATGTTATTGATAGAAAGAAGCATGTATTCAAATTGGCCCAAGGCGAATATATCGCGCCGGAAAAACTGGAAAAAGTCTATTCAGAGTCGCGGTTTATCAATCAGATCTTTGTTGATGGCGATTCTCTTTTCTCATTCATCGTCGCAGTGGTGGTTCCTGAGGCAGATTACATTGATCCGGTGATATATCAAGACAAGAAGAAATTGGAGCGCTTCTTGTTGGAGGAGTTGAACTCGATTGCTGTGGCGCAGGGGCTTCTCAAGTAACCAGAGAAATTAACTTTAGATTTGAATTTGTTCAAAAGATATACGTCGAAAAGGAGCCATTCTCCATCGAAAACGACCTGTTGACACCGACCATGAAGATCAAGCGACATGTAGCCAAGCAGCGGTATGCCGATGTCATCTCTGCCATGTATACATCCAAGAAGCTCGGTCTTCCCGCACTGGACCCGCATCTGTAAGGAGGCTTATTACACGCTGATTGATCAATAAAGAGGAAAAATTGGGAGGCAAGCAATAAAAGCATAAAATCCTGAGCGCTGGCTGGGGGTTAGCAAGCCATGCGGGTTGTTAAATTTGGGTTCCGCCTAGAATTCAGATTGGCGCCACACCACGGCATTGTTGTGGTGCAGCCGCATATCCGAGAAGAGCGAAGCTAAAGGACGCAGTTCCAGAGCTGATTGATCTCAGATGAGAAGAATAGGATGAAAGAGCTGCGAGCGGAGCCTCTGCCTCAATGATGCAATATGTAAGGGGGGAGGAGGAGAAGCTATCAATGGGATTTTTTTGCGACGCACTTTCCCCAAAAGTCGATCCACTGATTTTGTCTCCACGCGTCTCATCAGTGACGGAAAGAATCGTTCCGCGGCGAGAAGACGAACTTAGATCTCCAAGGATACTTCCAGAGTGCTCTCTTGGCGTCCTGATGCGGAGCGCCATAATAGGCTCGAAAATAGATGTTTTAGTGTTGAGTGCCTCTCTAATGGCGTCAGAGAGCGCTGCTCGGATGGCGGGGCGAGTGGTGTCGACAAAGAGCTCAAGTCTCTCTATGGTCACATGGAGGCCGATCATTGGGAAGCTTTCCAGAGGCCCATTTGTGAGGACGATTTCCACATGCTCCCTAAGATCCTCTTGCAGCTCAACAGATGAGATGTTGAAAATGTTAAGGGTCATCTGCTCGTCAACAAAGTGCGCTCCAAATGAGACCTTATTTGCTGTTTCCACAATGAGATCCTGGCGAGGAGCGTGTTGCGCCACGTCAGAGCCACGATCACCATCAAAGGCGGTATCGGTACAGGGATTAGGTAAACTATCGAGCGACGATCCCCCAAAGATTCGTAAATTTACACCGGCATGCAGTCGCTTTCCAAATATTTCTCGATCCACAACATGTGAATGTTGAAAAAGGCTTCCTCTGCCGATAGATTCCTTGTAAGCGATATTGACAGGGCCCAAGCGCACCTTGCTAGATTTGCATTCTCGTAGCAGGCGGTTTGAGATTATCTCAAGATGGAGCTCGCCCATTCCAGAGATTATCATTTGCCCGGACTCTTTGTTCTTTTCATATTTGAAGGAGGGGTCTTCCAGCCCCAATTTTGCCATCGCCGTCTGAAGGAATTCTTCATCAGTCTCATTTTCTGTCCAAATGGAGCGGAAGAAAACAGGTTCAGGGATCTTGATCCCAGGCAGGCAGTATCGCTCAACGCTGGCTTCTGGATATGAAGCGGATGCCTTGGACGGGCTGGCGGTCGAATGTGTTCGCTTAACAAACTCAACTTCAGAGACAGGAAGTAACAGAGTATCTCCTGTGGTTGTTGCACGAAGTCCGAGCAGAACAGCAATATTTCCAAAGGACACAATTTGGATCTCGTGGCTCTCTCCGGAGGTCATGTGGAGGATCTTTGAAATTCGCTCTCGAAGGCCACCCTTAGAGGCATTGATAACATTCGATTTGGCACGCATATGGCCATGATATACTCGCACAAAAGCCATAGGCCCTTTCCGCTCGTCCACGACCATTTTGAAAACGAGAGCAACCCCTTGGATCGAGTTGGCATCCACAGGCCAGCTGAGCGGTGCTGGTGCGGGTAAGTATCGTGTAATTGCATCAAGAAGCGGCTCAATGCCCCAATTGCGCAGAGAAGCACCATACAGAACGGGGTGCAACTTTCCACTATTCGTTAGTCCGCATATGCACTTCATCAGCAGCGGTGCGGGGAAGGTTTCTCCCTGGGCTGAATGTTCAAAAAAGGTCTCGAGAATCTCGTCATCATCACTGCGCTCCGCTACTGCTTCAACAAGGGAGAGTCTGGCCGAGATAATGGCATCCAAAGGTGCTCTGGCGTTCGAACGAAAGAAAGGATCTGCGCTCCAATGCTCAAAAGGCAGCATAAGGTTGTGGTGCACGTCTGACTCGTGTCTGGTGATCAAGTCAAGGGTAGCCAAATCGACTAGCCAAGGCATCTTACCAAAGAGCGAGGTTTCGCATTCATTAAAGGCCGCTGCGAGCGGCCGTACCTCAAAAAAAGCCTTCTGTATTGGCCGGGCATTACTGGAAGCAAGGCGGAGGCCGATTTGGGTAAATATTTTAGATAGGCAAAAGCCCTCGCGATCTGTTTTGTTGATAAAAATGATACGCGGTAAGTGATGGCTATTCGCCTGGAACCAGACAGTCTCTGTCTGGGCCTCCACACCAGAGACGGCATCGATGATGGCGACAGCCCCATCGAGGACGCGGAGCGAGCGTTCCACTTCCACTGAAAAGTCGACATGACCTGGGGTATCGATAAGATTGATCCTATGACCGCCACGCCAGGGGAACGAAATTGTGGCAGACGAAATTGTGATGCCACGCTCGCGCTCATCTTTAAGAAAGTCCATAACCGTATTGCCAGTATCGACGTTGCCGGGCTGTTCGATGATTTGTGCCGCAAAAAGCATTCGTTCTGTCGTTGTGGTTTTCCCAGCATCGATATGGGCGATGATGCCGATATTGCGCGTTTTCTCAGCAGAAATGGTATTGGAAAGGATGGGGTGCAGAGCGCTCATGGCGAACCCACGGCGCAAAATCCCAAAGACCATATCAGAACCGTTCACACGGAAGATGCAGAATGTTTTTCCGAAGAATCTGTTAACAAATGGATGGCAACATGTGGCACACGACATGAGCGTCTGTCAATATGCAGTTGCACAAAGTTAAATTTAATGGCCATAGCCTCAACGCCATCGACATCGGTAATTGCCGCTGAACAGCGGCAATCATCTGTCCCGGAAACACCGCGCACTAGCGGTATTGTCATGGAGGCTCCAAGCATAGCCGAAAGGGCGCTTCGATTTTCAAAGGACTTTGCAGCCGGATGGATCGGCGGCATCGCTCAAGTGCTTGTGGGGCAGCCGTTTGACACGGTCAAGGTGTTACTCCAATCCTCGTCGCGAAGCTCTGCAGCCTCTGGAGGCACGATGCGTTTTACGCTTGATACCATCAAGAAGGAAGGCTTCGCCGGGCTGTACAGGGTAAATGCGTGCGAGCGTTTAATTTATAGGGAACCACGGTCCCGTTGTTCGGAATTGGGTTGTGTGTCTCTGTCCAGTTTGCGGCTTTGGAGCAAATGAAGAGGTTTTTCAGTGCAAATAGAATTTTGGGAGCCAATAGCGACAGCGGAAAAACGGCACAATTGTCACTTGGCCAAATGGCGGTCAGCGGCTGCGTGGCCGGGATTGCAAACACGGTCTTTTCCGGGCCCGTGGAGCACATCAGGATCAGGCTGCAGGCGCGTACAGAAAATTTTACCGGTGCCACCGATTGCATCAGGCGTATCTATGGCGGGGGTGGGCTGCGGGCCATATACCAGGGGCAGATTATGACGATGCTACGCGATGGCGTCGGTTTTGGCGCCTATTTCTTCTCATATGAGGCACTGGTGGCTCGACACCAGAATGCGACCAAGGTCGCACGCTCAAAAATAGAGACGTGGCGCCTTATGGCATATGGAGCGATCGCTGGCGTGTCCTTCTGGAGCGTTGCGTTTCCCTTTGACGTGATCAAAACGAAAATCCAAGTCGATTCCTATAAATTGGGAGAGAAAAGAAAATTTCCGACCGCACTAGCGTGCGCAAGACATATTTTTTCGACGGACGGGGTTTCTGGCTTCTTTAGGGGGTTCGTGCCTTGCTTTTTGCGCTCAGCACCTGTCAATGCGGCCACATTTGTGGCGTTCGAATATGCAATGAGGGTTTTGAATTAAAGTTTTAGGGTTAGCAGGGGATGATATCATTGTAGCGAATCGGTGGCATTTTAATTTAATTTTTCAAGCCTTTTATTTTTTATTTCCATGCCTCCGGCCCTTGACCTCGGCCACCTCATGCTGATAGATGCGGAGAATTCATTCTCTCTAAATAGTATTGAAGGCGAGCGTCTTGCCCTCAAAACGGCAATTCGAAACTTTCAGCTGCTAAGCGACTCTTTATCCCAGCTCCCTAGATCAAACGAAGAGGAGATCGGCACTTCTGTGATGCTGCCAAATCCGATTCTTGCACTTCCAAGGGCATTTCCCGCACCCATTCCCAAGTCTGAAAAGCCACCGACCAAGTGGGAGGCTTTTGCAAAGAAAAAGGGCATAAAGCCAAAGCACAAGCGATCCTCGCACGTATTTGACGATAAAATTTCGAAAGAATGGAGGCCTCGACATGGGTCGAAAAGTGCAAAGAACGATGCCCTTGCCGACTGGGTGACCGAGCTCGACTGAACAATAATTAAATTATGGCTTTGCAGATTTTGGCAATTTTTTGACCACAAAGGGAGGGAGGGGGGAGCACATAATGGGGTGTAAAAGCTGTCCACACTTGCAAGTTGGTACCTTAACGTAAAGTGATAGCATTGCGGACTTTTCAGCCCATCATCAACCCTAATCGGGCCCCAATCCCCTGGATATTTTTAATTGAAAAGAATTGAGGATATAAATATTTATGTTTATTTAAAGCAGAAAACTCAGTAGCAGTTCCCTGAGTTTTCCAAAAATCAGAGATTTTCCCCAAAAATAGTCAACGATGCTCAAAAAAAGACATAGGGATAAGAAAAAAAATAAATTAAGATACACAGCACCAAAAGAGGACAACCGATTGGCGCTCCGGGTAGTTGATTCGGTCCAGTACAGAACTGCTGAAGAAAGCAGAAAGGGTCCAGCTTCTATTGTGTTTTTTGTAAACTCTCTATCTGTAGAAAGGTAAAGAAGAAGATTTAGCGGAACAAGGAGAAAATATCGAACTTTGAGATTATAGAAATACCCTCGCCTTCGAACAAGAGAAAAGCCAAGGTTTTGAATAAAAATGGAGATGCTGAAATTGACGACAAATTTTAAAATGTGTTTCTTTAGTCCTTCAAGTGTTTCGAAAAGTAGATAATACCATTCATTCAACAGGCAAGGAATAATGTATACAAAATATATCATTCCGGGGGCAATCAGGGTAATTACAGATGCAGCCATGTAAATGCCCTGGAAGAAAATCGATGGCGACAAATAATTCAAAGATAATTGACTTGTGCCACCGTTCTGGGCCTTTGAATCGGCTTGGGCGTCTTGTTGGCCCTGTGTGAAAAAGTTTCCGCTTTGCATATTTTTGGAAGGAAATTTGGAATAGAAAAGGTCGCTGATGCTGAAAATACAAAAGACAGCACTTAACGTGGCAACTGAGGCAAACAAAGCGGTTTCCCCCGTCGTCAAGTTTAGATTTTTGAATCCACTAGGAATTAATAGGCTGGATGCATTTAAAACGGCATCATTGGTTTGCGAAGCCGTATGCATAAGCAGCCTTTTCGCCGAGTCTAGATCTAGTGATGACAATGTCGATAATGCCGGTAACAGTGACAATGTTGATGCAGTGGACGCAGCTTGACGAGACACGTATTTTGGCATAAAAATCATTATACAAATCGAGGCCAACATGGCCGCACAGAAAACAGAAACCATAAGGACAAAGCTCGGCTTCATTAAATTGAAAAACCAATGCCATCATTGGCTGGGCTATAACATTCTATTTAAAATTTAAACATTTGAAACTGATCCACAAAAGCCTTTAAAATTTGGCGATTTTCCTATTTGTAGAAATCAAATCCAAATCCAAATCCGCTTGCTCGTGGTGATGTCTGTCTCTTCATTTAGATTTTATTCCCGGTTTGGACGAGATCTGTAAGTAAAAGCTATCAAATGGCGTGATGCATAGGGCGCCTGTTCTTGGAGGCTGGTCGCTATGTGCAACGCTTGCCATGCTGTACTGGACAGAGAGAATCCCGATTTTCAGAAGACTGATTTTTCAATACATCCCGCTTGGTCGATATGATGCAGATCGCAACTGCGATGAAGACTAATTCGCAATAAAGACCGTAAGCTCTCGTATCGATAATTTATTTAAATTATTTTCAAGATCCGTTCTCAAAGCAGGCACTGCTGATCATCCCTAGGCCCCTAGTCCTCCAAATCTCCCTCTTCACTGCTCAGATCAGGCCCCTCGCTGCTGCTGTCCATATCCAGAATGGATTCAGAGTCTGCAGAGAGGGAGCTATCTTCTGCAGAAGAAACCTGCAGATCAGCCTCATCTGCAATGCCATGTTTGGAAAACCCAACTACATATACGCCTTGAGAGGATGAAGGCAGCGAGGATGCAACATTCCATCGACCAAGCCTATGTTCTCTGGAAAGTGCTATGGCTACAGCACAGCGTGAAAGAGCTTTCAAAGAAGCCTTTTCCGTTGATGCCGAAAAGATTGAGGCCGAATGCAGCCAAGAAATGGAGGATATAAAGCCATTCTCTGCAATTTGAATGCATTGAATTTGCTCGAAAGTACTGAAATCCGAGGAGCACTTCCATATTTTTAACGAGGCGCGTTCATCTCCGCTTGCAAAAATCGCAGAATGGGGGAGCGCCGCTAAGGAAGAGGGCCGATGCTCCAGCTTTGCAGAGAACGAAAATTTCTTTTTCGAGCTATTCCAAAGGAATAGCTCTTGGCTTTCGCTAGCCACAACAAAGGCAGATTCTGTCAGCATGCAAACAAGATCCAATGTTCCCGATTCAAGGGGAGCATTGAAGACCAAATGGGTCGAGTCCATGACCTTCCAAAGGCGAGCCGAGCGATCTCGGCCCCCAACACTCATGCAGCGTTCTTTGGAAAGAACACAAAGGTCCACTGGGGATTCCTGATGTCCAAATAGGGTGTCCACGTAGGCCAAATTTATTGATGCCTTTTCTTTATCTTGCTGGGCCTCGTTGGGATCATAGCTGAATTGCCAAATTTTGAGCGCTCTGTCGGTTGAGATGGAATAAAGATCGCTTTGAACAAGCCCAGAGCTGCTATTTGTAGTTGCCAAACGAAAACAAAGCCCAGTGATCGGGCCTCTATGATGGCGAAGAGCTCGAAGATATGAGCCCGAAGAAAGACTCCAAACGTGAATAATGGCATCCAGGCCACCACCGACCAAAAACTCACCATCTGGGGACACCGCAATTGCCTGAAGACCGAGGGCTTTTTTGGCATTGCAAGTGAAAGATTTCGTTGATGATATGCCTCTTAGGTCTTCGGTCAGAGTCCACTGAAAGATGCCCTTGCATTTTTTAGTGGCACCGAAAATGGACCTCGATGGGGAGTGGGTGCAAACCGCACTGGGCGGCCCATTCAGCAGGGACTGTCCTCCAGCGAGCCGTTTCTGGCCAAACAACACCGAACATGCGGTATTTTCACGTGAAACCTAAGGTTTTCAAAATACGGCCATACATAAGTTCCGATGGGGGAAAACTTTTTTCCTTCCTTGAAAATGGCGTCCTTAATGAGGCGCTGGGAGATTATATCGCGGTCAATTTCTTGAGCATCTATTTCACCCTCTGATTGTTCAGATGAGGATGAATTATCTCTTGAGCTTTCGTCAAGATCTTCCTCTTGCTTTGAAATGGATTCTACACGGGGTTAAAAAGATGCCTTACTGATATATTTTTTGGCGAGTTTGATGCGGCTTGTCGCATCATCCAGATTCTCATCTTGAGAGAGGGAATCGCCATCGCTTGCTTCGGAGGATGAGGATGAGGACGAGGATGCTTCTTTAGGTAAGGCAAAAGGAGCTATGCTGATGCTCGGTTTAGAATGCACCTTCTGTATAATTTTTGACGTCTTCATATTCTTAAGGCTTTTAAAGCTATTATTCGGCCGCTTGGCGGCCACAGTGGCATTGGATGCCGTCAATTTTCGCCTGGACGAAACAGAAAAAAATGGGTCGTTCATGGTTTGGCTGCAGAAGAAATTAAAAAATTTATTAAATCAAAATTTACACAATTACAATCTGATCAGATGCTCGCCGGAAAAACCATTTTGATGTACGAGCCTTTTCCCTTTGACTGCATTTCATAGTACTGGAAGTTCGTCTGGCATCGGGGCTGCGTGTGCAAGTGCCTTTGCGGCAGAGGGCTGTAAATTGGTTGGGCGGTCTCCATGCTTATCATAGATTCTTTGTGCAAGACGGCTTGTAAAGCTGGAAATTGTGAGGGAGCAAATCCTTTCTGCACATCCAAGCGCCTGCATTCTGATTTTGAAGCTCGACGTGTCGGATGCCAAAGAGGTGCGTAGTGTCCTTTCCTCGCTTCCGCCCGATTTCGGCGACATCGATATTTTGATAAACAATGCAGGTTTGCATAGATGGCTCAATCAAAGGACTTGCCATTGGCGTGGAGCAGATCTCTGAAAACATCACAGACGAAATGATCGATTCGATGCTGGATACAAATGTCAAAGGCGTGCTGTACGTGACCAGGGAAATTTTGCCGAAAATGCTGCAAAGCGGTCGCAACGGCCATATCATCATGATCGGGTCGATTGCAGGAGTCGAAGCATATTCTCGCGGGTCAATCTATTGCGCCTCCAAGCACGCACTGAATGCGATATCCGAGTCTCTGCGGAAGGAACTCATTTCCACCCCGATTCGGGTCACCGAAATCCAGCCTGGTAAGCATTTGCTACGCAAGTTCGATTTTCTTTTTTTGAGCACCTTTGCATGGGGCGAGCTTTGCGAATGGCAGGCTTTTTGACAGCTTTTACACCCAACGTTGTTTTTACTGATTTCGATTTTAGGTCTTGTGGAGACAGAGTTTTCTCTTGTTCGTTATGGTGGGGATGTACATGCAGCCAAAAGAGTCTACAACGGCATTGAAGCTCTTTCTGCCAACGATGTCGCAGAGGTAGTTCTTTTCGCTGCCACCAGACCAAAACATGTTCAAATTGCCACCGTCAAACTACTGCCCACAAACCAAGCAAGCGTTTTTGAGGTGTCCCGTACAAAAAATTAAAATTTCAAATGGCCACACGGCCTATCATGTCAATGACGCGATGTGTGTCAATAACAACAGTGCGAAACTGACCGCCATTACACGGTACCACTTGGGATCGTGTAATTTCAGAAACATCGATGTCAGCAAAGAGCCGGTCTATTACGGTACAACATATGCAGTGCAAGCGCGTTGCCGCTACACACTTCAGTACATGAGATGGATGCTTTAGAATATATTGAAATAATTAAGCTCCCTTTTTCTTGGAGACACCCATTGTTCTTCCAAAGCGTCCAGTGGTCTTGGTATGCTGTCCTCTGACACGAAGATTCCAGTGATGGCGAAGACCGCGGTGGCAGCGGATCTTCTTTAGGTAGTCCAGATCCTCACGAAGTTTGTTATCAAGGGCGTTGGAGACGACCTGCGAGTAGCTTCCGTCTTTGATATCTTTCTGTCTGTTGAGGAACCAATCGGGGATCCCATATTGACGAGGGTTTTGGATGATCGTTACAAGACGCTCAAGCTCTTCGTTGGATAGCTCACCAGCTCTACAGTAAATAAATTTGAGAAATTTGCCCACCTCTTATTGAGATCAACGTCGGCTTTTTTGCACACAATGTTGGAAAAGCAGCGACCAACACCCTTTATTGCGGTGATGGCATACATGACTTTTTGCTTTCCATCAACGTTGGTATTCAAAAGACGAATGATATGTTGAAAATTGGATTTATCGGAGACGACCAAAGACTATATGGTTAGCATGAACAATATTAAAAGCACTCAATATCCAAAATTCACCAATACATGGCTATGTAGAAAGAGATATCAATACGATGGATGAAAAGAATGATGAGACAGGTGGTGATACTTACCATTTCAGATAAAAAATCAAAGGAAGGCTAAATGTTAAATTTGAACCCAAATTTGAAATTATAAGATTTTATTATTGGCCTGCCTCATTTTTTGGATAACCGCACGTGGGTCAGCAGAGTTAAATATTGCCGAGCCAGCCACGATTACATTTGCACCGGCCTTGATGATGTCACCGACGTTTTCCAAGGTAACTCCACCGTCTACCTCAATATCGAGATGGGGCGTAATATTTCTGATCGCCTCAATCTATCGAAAATAAGTCAAATCACAGGCTTGTTAGATAAAGACAAGTCTAAAGCGGACACATGACATTACTTTGGGAATAATGGAGGGCATGAATTTTTGGCCGCCAAACCCGGGCTCTACCGACATCACTAACACCATGTCAATTGACTGGAGATAAGGAATCACATCAGAAACAGGAGTATTCGGCTTAATTGCAATGCCGGCCTTCATTCCGGTTTGCTTGATCTCAGCGATTAGATTGAAAATGTTTTCGATTTCAGACTCCAAATGGAATGTGAAAATCGTTGCTCCGGCCGCAGCCAGGGGTTTAACCCACTATGCATAGGAATGGGCTAAAATAAAATACCATCTTCGGATCAGAAACCATCAAGTGGCAATCAAAGATTTTGTGTTGAACTTTTTCCCTCAAACATTTAACTACAGCAGGTCCGATGGTTAAATTTGGAACAAAATGGCTATTGGGGTGGGAAAAAATACACATACCCATCCATAATATCAACATGCAGGGCGTCAGCCCCGGCGTCAATTACTCTTTGGCAATCGGCAGCCAAATTTGCAAAATCGCTCGATAAAATCGAAGGAGCAATGATAATTGGCCCGGCGGTCATCGTGTATGTAAGCGGAAAAATTTAAATTCCTTAAACTTGCAGAAATTTTAATTTTGTTAAAAATGAGTATGGCCCAAAGGAAAGAAAAGCAGCGTATACCAAATGATCCACGGGGGTTGCAGTGGCTCAAGCAAGGTATGAGACTTGAGCATTATTTCAAGTGCCAAAGGAAGATATGGGACTAAAGCTGCTGCAGAAAATGGGCTGGAAGCAAGGAGATGCCATCGGAGACACCATGGCGACCATCCAGCCTGTGATCAAGATAAAACCGAAAGACCTGTCAAACGGAGGTATTTTCAGGCTTATTATAACTTACATGTAGGGCTTGGGCTATCTTCCGCATCAACTTTTAAAGAATCTCTGCTTTGTATAGACACCTTTGACGAGATCCTCAGGAGAATGAACTCAAATCAGCCATCGCTCAATAATATCACCACAAAAAAGGAGAAAAAAAAGAAAAAGGCATCAAAAGACCGCAAAAAGAAGAAAAGCTCCGCAATGGCGCCCACAACGCTGGATAGCTAGATAGATACATAGATGAATAGGTAGCCTTCGTAAAATTAAAAGTAATTTAAATTTTAATTCACACCTCGCAGTGTAAAGTAAACGGCTCCTTTTTTGCATTCCAATATTTCCAACTGATGGCTTTGTTTGTTGGCCGAATTCCCGAGCATGTGCGTCCGAGAGACCTTGAGGATCTATTCATCAAGTATGGACGCATAAATCGCTGCGATATCAAACGAGGAGGTATTTGATGCCCATTTAATGCGTTAGGCTATGGATTTGTTGAGTTTGATGATATCCGAGACGCCGAGGATGCCCTGCGTGACGGTCGCTTTCAAATTGACGGCCACCCAATAGTTGTTGAATGGGCAAAGGGTAGTGGTCGTCGCTCCAATTCTGATGAGTGTTTCCGCTGCGGAAGAACAGGGCACTGGGCGAGAGACTGTCCGTCTGGCGGTCGTGGCTCTTCGCCGTCACGATCTTCGCGTTCTTCCAGATACAGATCCCGCTCGCGTGAAAGAAGAAGATATAGCCGCTCCCCCTCTCGCTCCTCTTCAAGATCACCACCAAGATCTTCACGCCGCAGCAGCCGCTATCGCTCTAGATCCCGCTCACTAAGCCGCCCTCGCTACCATCGTAGTGAGCGCCGTTACCATTCTCGCTCGAGATCGGTCAGTCGTCATCGTCATGATTCCAGATCAGCCTCTCCTAGGGGAGGCTCGCCAGCTCGCTCGCCACAAAGAGAACCTGTGGATCGATCTCGCTCGAGAAGCCTCTCCCCAAGAGGAAGATCCAGAGACCGCTCGCCAATCCCCGAGCGCTCCCAATCCCCACGAGATGACCAGTTGTAATAGTACTGCAAATGTGTTGGCAATACATGGTTCTAGGCAGCCTTATTCTGTGTAAATTCAATTATTTTAAATTTAATATTTTCAAATTTTATTTTATTTACATTGAATGGTGGTGGTGCCCCCCATGTCCTCTGCGGCGTGTCCGGCCTCTTTGAGTCCATTTTCGAAGCATATGGAACACGATGGGCCCGTTGGTGGCGATACAGACGAAGCCCCAATTTCCACATTAAAGAGCCTAGTAGCAACAATAAGCTCACTCAAACAGGAAATAGAGCTTTCCGCTCCGTCTTCCAAGCTGGAGTCTCCCATTGCCGAGGCTGAGTTGGCCACATCATTGCTACAAGGCCTAGCAAAGACATTCTGCACCCTTCAATCGATTGATCTTTGTGGAAAGGGAGAAATGAGTATGCCGTCCCAAGCGAATCATGATACCAAACGTCCAAAGGCTGGCCCTTTTTCCTCGCTCGCCGCCGTTAAAGGCAAAGATTCACCGATTGATTTGTTTCAAAAGCGAGTTGATGTATATGTTTCTAAGATAGAGAAACTATCATGTCCCCAGAAAGAAAAGAAAGATTCAAAAGGCAAATCTACCGTTGTCAATACAAAGGCTGCCAACAGAATCGTAAAAGAGACTCTAAATTCAGCGCCAAAAACCAGAGCAGAACGGCCATAATTGACAGAATGTACCTGTAGGCTCCATGAACACAGACACATGGAAGACCTCCCACATTTGCCTTTAAATTAAAAAACGGTCCCCTGTAAGAAAAATAAAGCAATCAACAATGGCGGCACATTCGATGAGCGTGGTATTCACGATCAAGCTGTAGGTAGGCCGGATCGATGATATCTTGGCGTTAAAACTTTATTTAAAAGCGAGGGCCTCTTTTCCTAGCAGTGTATTTGGTATCTTGCGGCACATCTTCAAATCCCCGCTTTCGGCGAAGGTCCTTTTTGCGAAGGACCCATGCCTTGTCTTTGAGGTTCTTTTTTCGCCTATGCCGAATCTGCCTGAGCGGCGTGTCATCCTTTCCTTTGGGAAGCGAGGCTTGCCCCACAATCAGGACGAGAAAATATTTCTTTCTGCGGGGTGCATTTGGGAAGTCCACCACCATGCCGCCGTTGAAGCCTACCTTTAAAGCCACATTTAGGATCATTTCAATTTGGGCAGCGTTTTCTGGATAAAATTGAAACACAGCCCTCGCGCCAATTCTCAACGTAGAGTACAGCGAAGAAAATAAGCGACGTAAACGGAGTTTTGGGCTTGCCTCCCTTGTGTCGGCATTGCAAAGCCATTGAAGGGCAGATACAGAGATGGCGCCATCAAAGGATCCGGCTCTAAAGCCAAGACCATCGCCCATGTCTCCTAAAACCAAATCACCATTCTGGTGCTGGTTATCGGACTCTTTGTCATAGCTGTCATCGCTACAGTCACTAGCATCGCTATAATTATTTTCAGAGCCCTCACTATCAGATTCGTCATCAAGTTCCGTTCTAGTATCCTCGTTTTCGATCTCAAATTCCTGCCCTTCTTGGCTTTCGCAGTCTGCAGGCTCCTGTTCTGCTTCTTTATTAGGATGCAGCAGTCGTGATTTTGCCACGTGAAGCATCGGTACAGAAATGTCCAAACCAATCCATGCATGGTTATTTTCCCCAAGAACAGAGGCACACATTCCAGATCCAACTCCAATATCCAGTAAAAGCGAGGGGATGCATGGCTTTGGATTAAATAGAGAGCGAGGCTCGTCTTCCTCCTGGTCATTGCCATCCAACGAGGGCAAGGCTAGTAACTCGTATGCGCGAAAGGCAAGTTCTCTCTGGATTTTGGCATATCTTGAAGACTGCGAGTACTTTTTTGCTTCAGCCTCACTATAAAAAAGCTCAGGAGGGCCCGTAAGCTCGGGTCGTTGTCCGCCCATGGGCTAAATAGTTCAAAATAACATATTTTTATTGCATTCAACTTGGCCGATTAATTTGCTAATTAATTCATTAATTAATCAGCGGGTTAGCTAGTTGAATATGTTAACCCTTAAAATTATGAGTGACCAAATGAAATGGACGGTCATTTATTATTGCCTCTACATATAAAAGTCCACGGTGGTGGTTCAAATTTTGACTGTTTAAATATTTTTGGCAGGAAGAGTTAGAGTAAATAAAGCGATCTCCACTGGATGGCCTATGATCGGGGTTAGCTCAGTGTGTTAATGTTGAGAAACGACATTGAGGTTTCGATGACATTGAAAATGGCCTTTTCATCCAGAAGCTCTTTGCTGATTTGAGATTTCTACGATTAAAAAAATTGCTAACCAGAGAGTAGGTACATGTCGAATAAAGGGCACGCCAGGCCTCTTTGAACTGTTCTTGGGGCCCAGACTGGTCAATTCCTATCCTTTTAAGGGAAAGAACAAGGCATCGTTTGAGCTTCTAAAAGAAAAGATACCAAACATACGGCAATATTGATCTCTTTGACTTGGTCGTTGTTAGTTGGTGCATTTTGCGCGCCGCTGCGGATTTTCGGCTCTATGGAATAAGTTAAATAAATACTTTTTCGAGTGGCGCTTGATAAAAGTCGGTGTTCTGTAATTTCAGCAAGGACACTCGCGGCTCTTGAGCGTGCACAAAGGCTAGAATACATGCCATCTATTTTGGGAACACGCCTGTCTATACAATTGTCTCCGTTTATGCAATCGTTGTTAGAAAACCCTTTAGCTAAATCCTGTTCGCAATCTTTGCGAATGACCTGATCATCTTTGTTCAAGGGCCATGGGTCACCTCTTCTTTCTAGGAAACCTGGCTCCTCAGCAAGGTAGCCGTTGAAAATTGACCCCCCTTCATCTGGCTCCAAGAGAAAACAATGCGGTTCAACAGGCAACAAATTATAGCTACTCTTAGCAAGTACCAATATCAGCGAATTATTTTTAGAAATGTCAAGCAAAAACTGGGCATCCTCGCAGTGGGGGTGAAGGCTTCTAAAAATAAGCGAAAATGTGGCAACACTTGAATGGAGGGAGGCCTCTCGTTTCTTTTATTGCAAAGCGAGCCAATATGCAGCTCTGCTCTCCAAATAAATTCAGGCAGAACATATTGGGGCGAGCAGGACGTAATTGAAATTTCTACAAATTATCGATACGCGCTGACCTTTACAAATGATTAGACAGAACGAGGAGGCATAGCCCAAGTATTTTTCTAATGCCCTTGAAGAAGAGGAAGAGGAAGAGGAGGAGGAGCAAGACGATGATGAGGTCGGGGATATTTTCTTGATAATTCCAAGGATGTCTTTTTCTGGAACCGAAAAGGCAGGCCAATGGAGGGGGCCCTGCCACATTTGACGAGGCTCGAAACCAGACTCAATCGCACTATGGGTAGTCTCTAGCGCTAAAAAGGGGCCAGATGTAAGTAAATCTTCCAGTAAAGCTAAGGGGCCATCCGTATCAGACGTAGAGTCCCTCGACGTCATCATCAGACGACTAGTTAAAAGATGGCAGTTAAACTGAACCCTAGCTTTGGGTCACAATTTACGAAACTGTGAACATTTATTTTCGAATGCTTTTTCAGATGTCCGTTGACAGTTGCACACTTTTCTGCGCTGCCTCGGTTAGGTCGTCTATTGAGAAAATTTTTAGCTGACTATCGGCGATGATTTTCTTGGCCGAATCGACGTTTGTCCCTATGCGGTGTCAAAAGTTGCACTACCTTGAAGCCTCACCACCAATGGAACGTTGATTTTGAGCGACGAGGCTGCCTTAACAATGCCCTCTGCGATGATGTCGCATCTCATAATGCCTCCGAAAATATTTACAAGAATCGAGGAAACCTAAAAAGAGAAATGGCCACTTACTCTCTTATCTGAGACCAGGATTGAAAATGCCTCTGAGACTTGTTCTACCGAAGCACTGCCGCCCACATCCAAAAAGTTGGCCGGATCGCCGCCATGCAGCTTGATTATATCCATTGTGGCCATGGCGAGACCAGCTCCATTCACTATGGTAAGAAAAAAAAGCAGTAAGGGACATCGGGTCGACGTAGAATTGAAATTAGTGGGCGGGCATGAGGTTAGGGAAGACAATTGGGGTTGGAGGTGCATGCACTTTATGCTTTGCATGGCAAGCAGAGCATCATTGTAAGGCACGTTAATAACAAGGGCAAGCAACACATACCTAAGCAGCCGATGGATCCATCAAGACCAATGTAGTTCAATTTCGCCTTGGAGGCCAGTACTTCTCGCGGATCCTCCTGTTCCGGATCTCTCATGAGAAAAAGCTCCTGCTGGCGGAAATCTGCATTTTCGTCAATGTTTATCTTGGCATCGAGACAGATTAAACGGGGCTCCGTGGGCGACGCAATCTCGGAAAGGGGATTAATTTCGACAAGAGAGGCATCCTTCTCAATAAAAAGCTGGTACAGCCGAAGAATGGTGCCTCCGACAAGCTAAATAGTTAGAAGAAATAACGGAGACGTCTAAATAACGGCCGGTAAAGCCCATTTTTGCGCCGAAGGTTTTCGCCTCGTCAAGGGAGAGTCCTAAGGGCAGATCGGCATCACCATACCTTTGGAGATATCAATAGGATATGTATGAATGGCTTCTGGACTTTGAGCCGCAACCTTCTCAATGTCCATGCCGCCTTGTGGAGAGCCGACCAGCATTGGTCCTTTGCAGTTTCGATCATAAAGTATGGCGAGGTAATACTCTTTGGAGGGAGAAAGAGCCTCGCAAATGAAAACCTTTGAGCACGGACGGCCTGCTGCCCCCGTTTGCTTAGTGACAAGGGTTGAGCCAATCATTTTAGACGTTTTTCCATATGCCTCCTGGGCGTCTGCAGCAAACTGGATCCCACCACCGGGAAGGTTGGCCTTGCCGATCCAAGAGCCTTTACCACGTCCGCCAGCCAATACTTGGGCCTTGAGCATACACCCTAAATTGTGATGTTCGGACCGCGTAGGGGAACCTTTTTTTGTGGCATGCATCTCCCAAAGCGACTTTGCATCGTTTGGATCTGTACAAAGCGATCCTCTGGCATGATCAATCTTGTACTTTTCAAAAAGTGACATCGACTGGTATTCATGCAGCGAGAGGTAGCGTCTTTGCATCAATGCCGAGCATGATGGCAACGATGTGGGGCGATAGAGACGTGTAATGAGCATCATCGGTACAAAAAGTAAATTGCTGCAACGTTGAATTGCTGCGCTATTAACATTTATTGTGGTGCCATTTAGCAAGTTTGCTACCAATTTTATTTTACCCGCTTGGGCCAATTGTTCCATCGCAGCTACAACTTTAGCGATGCAATTGGCGGTATTGAGATTCTGCTACGAACAGAATCTTGGATGCATTGGACAGACAGACAGCCCTATTCCGGTTTTGTATGGAGGCTCTTTTGGGGCCCATAACCCTGGTGGTATTTTAATGCCAACCTAGACCGAGAGGCTTATATTTAACCCTAACCAAGTACAATGTGCTTGACAAAAACTTTTAAATTGCGGCAATCAATGGGGTTAGGGTTATAGGATGGAGGAATTCGATGTGTTACAGCTACTCTTTAGATTATAAAAATTTAATCAAAAAGACCAGACCATGCGTTGATGCATTCGTAGCCAACTTGAGGGGGCTTAGTCCGATGAAAGAATGCAGGGACTGTCTTGCATACCGATGGATGCAAGTGACGAGACTAGCTAACAGTTATCGCGGACAGCTTATCATTTCGCTTCTTTTTACGATGAAAAAGAGAGATAATCATCGGAGTGATCAGGGAATCCAAGAAAATCGACAATGCCACGTCTAGGACGATCAGCCCGGAAATCACGCCAATGCGAAAGACGGAAGGAAGATCAACGGTGCCAAACAGTGTCGACATCAGACTGGTCTCGCAAGAGAGCAGTATCGAAAAATTACAAACAATCAAAGCAAGGATCAATCCAACCATCAGGAAGTTTGCATAAACTGGCTCCTGGAAAGGCGGCCAGGTCCCGAAAATCAAGGCCATCAAAAGATATTGAAAGTTTGAGAACAAAAAAATAGACGAGTTCAGCATATTGCCTTCAAATGCACTGAGATCATCACTGGCACAAACGGACAGGATTTGAGCGTGCGGTGGGAAAATGCGTACGGAAATCGCGTACAGCAGAAAAAGCAGCAAAATCTGGAGAACTATTTGAACAAGCATGGCTACCAAGACACTCGGATCGACCAGGCGGCCCGGCAGGCGGCCAGACGAAAGTCCCCCCGATCCAGGACGCATTCTGGCTATCGCAGTAGCCAGCGGTAAGATTACAAAAAGATCTTGCCAAATGAACTGCCCATCAGAGAGATTCATTCCCCACGTGTAAAGGAGCGAAACAACCGTAAACTGGATCATCGAATACAGGGCCATGAACCGGAAACAGGCAAACGAGACCCCAAGCGAGCCGCGACCCTCAATCAGCACATCGAGTACGCAGCGCGGATCATCGCCTGTTGAGCAAAACGGGGCCACTAGCGAGTCTGTGGATGTAGACAAGGAAATGCCCACGTCGGCCACTTGGAGCGCAGCTACATCGTTGGCCCCATCCCCACAAAAGGCAACCACGGCCCCGGTAGCAGTCATACTCTCCACCAACAGCCGCTTGTCATCTGGAGATAGACGGGCAAAAACACGGACCGGGCCATCGATAAGAGAGAGCGACGGATCGCTGTCAATAGCCTTCAAATAAGCCGCAAGAGCATCTCCCCCGGAAACAACGGGAACATAGCCCGGCGGTACGGGAAGAAGCATAGAGGAGAATCCAGAGCCTTTTGATACGCACCCAAAGCTATCGTCATTAACGGGACGTATTGCCTCGTTTCGTTCGTTCACCCAAAAACCAGAGCCGCTGAGAACGGCAACCGGTCTAGACCTAGCGTCGATGACTCCATCATTATGGTCATCATCCGAGGCAATGATTCCGACCTGCTGAGCTACAGCAGCTGCCGTAACGGCATGGTCGCCTGTGGCCATTCCCACAGCCAATCCAGCCTTTGTCAGTCTAGCAATGGTTTCCCAAGAGCCTCGTTTAACGGAGTTCACAAGCACCACAGCGCCAAGAAAGCGAAGCTGGCCCTTTGGTTCTTCAGCCTGTGCTCGAGTAAGCCTCTGCGCAGCAACCCAAGAAGACGAGGAGAGGGGCAACATGCCTCCCGCAAATAGAATAACGCGATAGCCCCGACGTGTCCATGCGGGAAGCGTGGTCTCCAGGAAGGATTCTGGGACACTTGTAGGGTCGCAAAGAGCGAGAAGAGATTCTGGGGCCCCTTTGACAAAAACTTGAAGAGACGACGACGGGGCATGAGACTGTTCAGAAGAATGAGCAGAATTAGCATTCGGTGATATGCGCTTTACAATAACCGTGGTGCGTCGCAAAAGTGGGCAAAAAGGCCAGGCTCTAACAACAGCTAGACGAACCTGATCGCCAGGCGATGGTAGTTTTGAGGGGTTTCCACTAGTGACGACAATCTGAGCCAGACCGTGGGTATTGTATTCCATATTCCAACCGCTCCACGTAAAGAGGGTAACGTCAAGAGGATCCCCAACAAGATTCCCACCGAGCATTCGTAGTGTGTGGCATGTAGCCAAGGCACCTCTGATGCGTGAAGAAGACGGCGAAGAGCCAACCTGCATAAGCCTAACCACTCCAGAGTGGTTTGAGGAATTCTTTGCTTCAGAAACCCAAAGGACATCAAGAGAATCTTCTGTGAGAGTGCCTGTTTTGTCAAAAAGCACCATTTGGACCCTACCTGCAACGTTTATGGGGGATCCAATGGTATTCCCACTGCCTCCAGAATTCATAACGCCTGCAGTACAAATGATGCCGCGTTGTGCAAGTCTACGAATGGCAAATCCAGTGCCCAGCGCCAGCGATGCTGGCAGAGCTGGGGGTAATACAACCGTTATAAGATCACCAGCACGAACAAGCAAGGCAACCAAGGAATTGGAAGGCAGCAAAGCAACTGTTGTAACAAAGCCGATGATAGAAATAGCACCAAGAACGCCCATAAATATGAGGGCATCTATATGAAGCTGGTCAACAGAGGGCAATGGGGGCGGATAGCGCATCGCCTTGAGCATACGACCGCGCAGGGATATCGAACCAGTAGCTGTGGCTCGCATCATGGCCCCACCGGTAGCCTCCAGCAGTCTAGTCCCACCATATACGAGTGAAGCTCTGTCAATATTTCCTTGCTGCAGTCGTTTGAGTGATGGGGATGAATTTTCTATCATTTCAAAGCCATCATGGCCATGTAGATTGGCCGTGGTTTTGGTGATCGGTATGGACTCACCAGTAAGAAAAGATTCATCAACAAGAGCCTCTCCCCTTACTAAAATCCCATCGCATGGGAGAGTTTGAATGGGATACTCGCCATGACCATGATGATCAAGGATAATAAGATCTCCAGGAACAATCATCGAAGCAGGGATTAAAACCGGACCCATTATTGACCCTTGCCTTTGGTCATCACCTCTGATTATGAAAATGGATGGAGGAATTCCAGAATCGTTGGCCAATTTTGATAATGATGCCATTGAGGATAATGTCGTTCGAATGGAAAGGATAATAGAAACAGCTGTAATAAATGCGATCGCACAAGCATAGGCCCAATAATTCTCCAAACACCAAAGGGCAACTGAAGCACTCTGAAATAGTACAAGCGGGCTTATGACTTCGCTTAGAATCAGCGAGAAAAGCATCGGTTGCGCCATGGAAATCGTATTTGGGCCAAAACAGTCTAAAAGCACTGCCGCTTCGGCATTACTTAATCCGTGAAGTGGATGTTTTAATTCTCCAAGGAGATTAGAATTCAATTCAGAAATAGGCAAGAAGTTTGAAGGGCAGCCAGAAATTCCATTATTGTCTAGGAGATTTGCTGTCCAAACAAAAGCATCTTGATCGCTCTTCCAAACACACCTATCGCCTCGGTGAGTCAGAGACTTCCATGAGGAAGTGGGCTTCTGCTCAATTGTAAGTAGGGTATATGAGACTCTAGCTGATATCCTTTTTGAAGATGAAATTGGAGAAGTGGAAGGCTTTGCTGCTATAAGTATACGTGTCGCTGATTCTAAGGGGCATATTTTAAACCATGCAAGGGTGTAGATCCTCACAGACCACCTTATAAAGAGTAAGAAAAGACCGCCTGTTGCAATGATCAGTAGAACGGAAACAATGCTCCTGAAAAAAGAGAAACAGCGGCCCTCTATCCACGCTATATCTGGCGGCAAGAGGGATTCGCTAGCTTCCTGGCGGGATCGCCCCTTTGGAGCAACCGAATATTCAATCATGCAAAATTTACGCCATTGGTGGATAATTTCAATTTAATTTAAATTATTTTCCAATCATATGCGCGCGTGGCCTGATAAAAAATCAAATTTGCCCCATCCCAACACCACATTTTCGAGCACCTAGGGTTAGATGACAATACGTTGACAATATAATATGATATTTGCATCAATTTGTGTAATAACTATATTGGGGTTGGTAATTATATTGGGGTTGGTCATTATATTCAATTCGGCTAGCCATAGTACTTGAACAGATCTGCTCAAGGGCTAGCTTTAGATGCAAACTTCCACAGCGAGTCTACCAATCGCTGTTCATCCGCTTCCGAGTCAAATTGCGCAGCTCTATATTGAAATATAAGCAGTTAGAATATTACATTGATGGGATCTGTGGACATTTCTTTTTCAAGAGCGCTGTGAGAGCACGGTTTCCAACTTCGATGAAAAGATTGCAAGGTTTTGCAACAAGCGCATCGATAGTTTGTGTCCAATAGACCGGGGATATTATTTGCGACCGCAAATAGGCTTTTATTTGATGTGAATCAAAGGGATCCTTCATCTGATAAATTATCCTGCAATTCCTTGTTACCTCTGTAAGAATGGAGCTGGAGAAATACGAGCTTAGATGATTCTTGCACCTCGTGGTTTGTGCAAACTGAATCTGTTCTAAAGACTTTCCAAATTTATCTGAAGCCTCATTCATCAGTGGAGAGTGGAAAGCACCAGAGACAGGCAGCTTTTTTGACGAATTTTCGAAGAACAAATGTAGATCCGTCAGCCTTTTAATAGCTGAAGTTACCAAGGTCGGCGTTCCAGAAAGGATAATTTGGTCCGCGGCGTTATAACATGCAATCGCAAGCGAGGGTCTTGCTAGCAAGGCTGGTTTTGAGGATTCGACGTCTTCTGGATTACCATCCTTACTAAATTCCTGAATGCTTTTCCCCATATTATCCATCAGAGCCATTCTGATCTCCGAAAAGGATATCTTTGGCCTTAAACGAACGCTAACCATAATTCCGTTTGGAGAAAACTCGGACATTGCTTTTGCACGCTCACCCTAACTAGTATGATTGACTGCGCAGTAGCTTACCACAATCGCGACACCCTGCTCCTGAGTGAGGAAATTGGCCGCCACAAGTGCAGTAATGTCGCCCAAAGAGTGGCCTGCAAAAATAAAAGCCGTGCTTTGATCCTTTTTGATAAGTGGTGGCAAATCAAGCTGAAACATCCTATTGAGCGTTGCAATGGAGGTGGCAAATTGGAGCATTTGAGCAAATTGTGTGTTTATGGTCTCTTGAGACATTGCTTCAAAAAGCCCCGGAATTTCAGAGCCGCAAGAGTCGAACATAGTCTTGAAATGGGAATTCATTAGGTAACGCCCCATGTTAGCATAATGATGGCCTTGACCAGGAAACAGAAGCCCAATTTTGAGCATAAATTAAAATGCTGCTAAAACGTTCAAAGACAGAGGGTTAGGGTTAGGGTTTAACTCATTTACAAGGGTTAGAAAAATATGGGCAGTATTCGAGTCTGCTTTAAGACATACGTAAAGGGTTAGTGATTGAAATACATTAAAAAGGTACAGGTTGTGCGTTGCGAAAATTATTAGACGTAAAAGAATTTGTGATTGAAAATGGCCCTAAAGTTTGTGAGAGGTTAGGATTGAGGTTGAGTGATATTAATTTTTATATTGTGATAGGGCGGAATGCAAGGACCATGCATCCGTAAAGAGCGGTCAGTATTTGTGCCTCATTTTGTTGGAATTTTTGAAGAAATGGGTCTAAACTTTTTGGCAGAAATATGTCGAATCAGCTATCAGTACTGATACTGTTCGAGGAGGGTAGCCCGATAAATACTCGTAGTTATCTGCATAAATGGCACGTTTTAACGCCATGAATTCACTGGTTGAAAACAGGCAAATTATCTTGAGCAGAACGAAATAGTTCGACGTTTAGGCTTGTTGGCTTATTTTTAGTTGCATTAAATTTAGGATTAGGGGTTAGGGTTATGCGAATATAAATGATCGCATCCATAGCCGTTCGATTTAGCTTTTCGATTGGATGTAAAGTTTTTGATGGAGCCAAAGGTGTGCTGGATAGTTTATTATTGCAAAGTGATGCTTTGAAACATCCAAAATTCTTCAATTAAACCAACCGATTGTGAGCGCGACCAGAGCAAAAGCCAATATATATTTGATTGAGAAATTTGATATCAAGGTCGTGCAGAGATATTTCAAAGGGTTAAGCACAAGTGACGCCTAAATAGAAGCCGCTAATTTCATCAAACAGAATATTATGGGTGCTGCTATAAACCTTTTCAGTAATGTTATAGAGAAAGTTGCAGGAAATTCTCTCCATAGAGAAAATAAACCAAACTAATCTAAAGCACGCCCAAATTGAGCTATGATATGGATCTCATGATTTTAATCATAGATTTAGCTCATATGAGAAGCTTCAGGTCAAGACTCCAGGGAGACTTTGAATGCGAATGGATTGTAAATCATTGGATATTTTTTTCTTGCTTGGTAACATCATGCTGGAAGAGGTGAATTTACGCAACGGAAAAGATTGGATTGCCTTGTTTACGGCCTATTAATATCCTATTTTCTTTTAAGTTTATTTATGAAAGGTTCCCCTTTGGTATTGAAAGGATCATTGTTACATAAAAGCTTGCTTTTGATTCTCTTCTCCTGTGATTTTGTATTTTTTCGCATTCAAAGTCTC